TGTATGGGGATTTCAAGGGGATGCTATTGGTAATTCTGTGGGCCCGTGAGGGCTTTGGTCGTGTCGGGGGCTGGGGCTTCGAGTTTGGGGCGCTGCTTTGATTTGATACCCTTCTTTGATTGTGATTCTCCTGAAGGAGTATAACGCTTCGAGCACAATTCCAGGTAACGAAGGACTAGCGAGGAAGGATCCAACCACCTGGAGTGCCTCGCATCAAAGGATGAAGGTCGCGCCTCTTCCAGGCAGCAGCTGCCCATCCTCAGCAGGAATCCCTAAACCCTACACCAGGCACCCCCAATTTCGGAAACCACCAACTAAGATTCTGTAGAGCACGCACACGGCGGACACAAGAACGGGACAGATCGCAACAGGAACAACCCCAAACCCAAGAAAATCTGAATCCCCGATCTCCACTATCCGAAAACCCATCCCTAAAGCACCATAACCTTGAGAAGCCCTTAAGGCTCTCACCGTTTAGGGCGTGTAAGGCTTTAGGCGTTCAGGGTTCAGATCATCGGCTTCCCTGGGAGAAGTATGAAAGCTCAGGTCTTGACCATGGTTCCCTTTCGCAGACACGGCCCGTGTCGAAACCCTTTACGCTTGAGCCCAGCATCCAGCAAAGAGAGCCGAGACATGGGGGAATTTAGGTTTAGGGTTTAGGGGTTTAGGGGTTTAGGGGTTTAGGGGTTTAGGGGTTTAGGGGTTTTGGGATCTGGGGCTTGGGCATTCGGCCGTTGCGGGCAATGTCTGGGGTTCCCTTGCACAGCTATCGGGCGTGGGCAACGGCCATTGCGCCTCCTTGAACCGGACGATGTTCGGATGATCCATCTTTTTCCTGTCGGAGGTTCAGACAATAGGGCGACCCTCCGAGAACGTCTGGCATGGGTCGCAACACTTTCTGCAACTTGCCTGTCAAAGGTACTCTCCCTATGTGACAGATACCGGTAGCGAAGCATGGTTTTGGCCCCCTGTTGAACAGCAAGGTCCCTCGCTCAGGTCCCCTAACATCATCCACAAGATGGCACACGCCCCGAGCGCGCGGCAACAGCATCGCCTCTTTCACCGCTTCGTTGCGTTCCTCTCATCGGCGAACATGAGGGCCCTAGACCCAGTCGACCCCAGTTGCGCCTTAAACCGGCCAAGCCCTTAATTCGAAACAGCTGGTAGCGATGGCCTTGGGTTCCATGGCAGATGTCTCCATCTGCTTGACGACGCAGAGCGCATTCTCCTCAGGGCTGCAGGCAACGGGAGACCCGCAGCCAAAGCCGGTAAGGATTGAAAACTGTAAACAGCGAAGAAGAGGGCCTCGGTGTTCTTGACGAGGTACGCCTTGCCGAAGGATCCCTTGCCGAGCACCTGCAAGCGCAACGGGACTATCTCGGGAAGCTTAAGGAAGCCTTAGGGAAGCTTGGGGAGTGGTGGGGAGCATAAGGGAACCTTGGGTAGCCCCCTTGAACCCCCCTCCCTTAAGAACCCCAAAAAGTGCTCACACCAGAAGAAGCTCAGAAGCGCAGGCGCCACCAGGCTGGACAAAGCCGTTCCCCGCGTCCCTGCGGGTGCCTTGATCCTCTGGTACTTCTCGTCCATCGCTTCGCTACCCCGAGTCCAAGGGGGGGGACGAGCCGGGGCTGAGGGATACTCGAGAAGGGCTTTGAGTTCAAACACGCCCTCTCATAGGCCTTGGGGGGCTCAGGCCGTTCGGGTCCGAGAGCGGTCCTGGGTGATGCTTCTGAATTGGCGTGGAGCGCCCTGAGTTTCCCCAAGGCTTCAGGGAACTTTAGGCGATAAGCTCTATAGAGAAGCTTGTTACAGTATCACAGCTGCAGAGTACCATCACTACAAAAAAAAAACTACGACCCTACACCCTAAACCCTAAACCCTAGACCCTAAACCCTAAACCCTAAACCCCCTCTCTTGCTTGAGGGTCCCTGAGGCGGGGCTCCGAGGGCTCGAGCCGAGCGATGGAGCGATGGAGCGATGGGGCGATGGGATCCTGCCAGTTGTGCGCGCTTAGGTTTGCATGTTTAGGGTTTAGGGTTTAGGGTTTAGGGTTTAGGGTTTAGGGTTTAGGGTTTCGGGTTTAGGGTTTAGGGTTTAGGGTTTAGGGTTTAGGGTTTAGGGTTTAGGGTTTAGGGTTTAGGGTTTAGGGTTTAGGGTTTAGGGTTTAGGGTTTAGGGTTTAGGGTTTAGGGGGGCACAAAAGTCCCCTCATGAGCGCTTGGACTGAAAACCCCACCGCCCTCTAGCAAAGGGGAACCGAATTCAGAAGTGGAACTGGCCCTGAGAGGATCAAGTTTCAATGGGTTCGATAGTGCCGTGTAGTGATTAAGGGCCCATAACCGTACAACTTCAAAAGTAGTTCTAAACCCTAAACCCTAACCCTAAACCCTACACCCTAAATCCTAAACCCTAAACCCTAAACCCTAGTTTAGGGTTTGGGGTTCTCTTGTCACACCCTGAACCTTGTGCCTTGTAAACCCTACACCTGTAAACCCAGCAACCCCTGCAATCCGAGAACTCTTGAAACCCCAGTGTCGCTGAATTTTTCGCGGAGGCGGCGGTCGTGAGGACGCCTCAGTGGGGCCTGCGGCGTGGGTTCAAGATTCAGGGTGCAGGGTTTAAGGGCTTCGGTTCTTTTCCTTTGAGTGTTGAAGCGTGTGGGTGCTGGATTTTGAAAAACTCGCGACTCAGGGTTCAGGATGTACTAGAAACATCCTGAACATTAATTAGACCCTAATTCTGAAGTTCTTCATCAACAGACACCTTGCACTGCGCAGTCCAATCCCGGCGCGACCCTGTCCTGGCTCGAGGAGATCTACCTCGGACCGTGGAACAGGGAGTGTCGGGAACTTCAGGATTTAGGGTGTAGGGTTTAGGGTTTAGGGTTTAGGGTTTAGGGTTTAGGGTTAGGGTTCAGGGTTTAGGTACCAGGTAGCGGATTCTCTACAGTGTGGGCCCCTTTTGGGTACCCAAAACAAAATTCCCCCCAGAAGACAATCGGAACCTCAACCATAAAATGTAGAGACCCTTGCCATGCAGGACCTGTAGACTCTAAGGCTTCCAGCACCCGAGAAGGTGGTCCATTCTTAACTCTGGCCCTAAACCCTAAACCCCAAACCCTAAACCCTAACCCTAAACCCTAAACCCTAGACCCCTAAACCCCTAACCCCGAGAGTCTATGGCTGACACTTCTTTGCACCTCGATGTCTGGACGCATACCTTGACATTCCGCCGAGGGGCAAGGAAGTGCCGGCGCCCGGCGAAGTCCAAATGATCCCAGTCTCGCCACGTCACGGACAGCACCTGGCGCCCCAACTCCAGCTTCCGGGGCTTTTCGGTTAGCAAGAAGGACAGCAAGGTTCGGCCTAAGCCCCTAAACCCCAAACCCCAAACCCTAAACCCTAAACCCTAAACCCCAATCCTTAGAAAGGCACCTTCCAGCCCAAACGGGCCAGCAGCCGCCGCTTCAGCTGAGAAGGCCCCAAGAGTGAGAGCGCCTCACCTAAGGGTTGAAGGTTTGGATTTAGGGTTTAGGGTTTAGGGTTTAGGGCTTAGGGTTTAGGGTTTAGGGTTTGGGGTTTAGGGTTTAGGGTTTATGGAGCTTGGGGTTTAGGGTTCAAGGGGCTTGGGGTCTAGGGTTTATGTGGGTCACAGGGATTTGGGTTTAAGGAGTGTTTGGTGTAGGGTGCCTTTAGGGCTTTAGCGAATGCAGGGCTAAGCCCTATAAGCCTATAAAACCCCAAGACCCCAAACGGCCCCCCCGCCCCCCCCAAAAAAACTTCCACACCCTAAACCCTAAACCCTAAACCCCAAACCCTAAACTCTAAACCCTAAACCCTAAACCCAGACCCTAAGATTTCCGGGTGGCTCTCAAGGTCGCGGGCGAAATGAAGCGGGCCATCCACCTGCATGGCTCAGGATGGCCCGAGGCTCTTTGAGCGGTTCATGAGGGTTTACTTGCGGTTTGGGGTTTAGGGTGTAGGGTTTGGGGTTTAGGGTTTGGGGTTTAGGGTTTAGGGTTTAGGGTTTAGGGTTTAGGGTTTGGAGTCTAGGGCTTAGGGCTTGACATGGTTAGGGTCATAACGCAAGTCGACTTTTGGCAGCCGGGCTTGGGGAGTGGCAAATCGGCCAGTGCCGTTGGCACTCGGAGCGCAAAGACCCTAAACCCAAAACCCTAAAATGAATAGGGCTTGGGGCTTTCCACCTCGATCACGAGCTGCCTCTTGGGCAGCGCGATGTCCACGGCCAGGCACTGCTTCACCAGCATCTCGTCCTTCGGGATTGGGGTTTCAGGTTCAGGGTTCAGGGTTCAGGGTTTAGGGCTTCGAGTGGACGGCGTAGTGGGGGCCGCAGCGAGGGTGAAACGCTTTTAGGAAACACGACCGTGAAGCACAATTTCCCCCCCCCCCCCCCCGAATCTGTGGCTCAGACCATGACAAGCTCCGAGGGGCCGCAGAGCCGTCGCACCTCCAGCTGCGGAGCTTTTATCGGATGCCAGAGGCTCCGGGGTTCCCTTGTTGGCGAAAGCCTTTAAGAAGGCCATGATATTGGGCGGAGTGGGTTGGGGGACACCGGGCGAAGTGCTCTGAGGGCGTTTAAGTTCTTTAAGGGGGGGCGGCGGACCGCAGCACGAAAGCTTCAAAGGACGCTTTCGGGGGCTTACGGGCTTAGAATGAGGCACGTCGAGGGTGCTGCGCCTGAGTGTCATATTGCGGTGTTCACGGAAACTTCGTGACTCATCGCATGCCGACGCGGTCACCAGCCGAAAAACTGGGCTGGGGGCTTGGGTTCCCAAAAGTCCCAAAGCAGACCATCACAAGAAGAAAATGTATGTGTGCGTGTATATATATATATGTGTATATATATATATGTATATATATATATATATATATATATATATATATATAATGGTAGCATGTGCGTATTTATATAGATATCTGTCTCTCTCTGTCTCTCGCTACTACTCCTCATGTGGCAATCTTACATTCTGAATTTGACAGCAACCCAGAAGAACGGCTTTCGATACCACAACCCGGAGCTTCCTCTTCGGAGACGGAGCTGTGCAGGCGGGAGGACCTGGGCCACGACGATCCATCTCGAGCGTCAACATGGAGTGATGTGGGGGAGTCGATCTAAATAGGATTTAGGGTTTAGGGTTTAGGATTTCGGGTTTAGGGCTGTGACAGAATCATAAGCAGGGCCCACAATTCCGATCAACCGCCATGTGGAGTTTCATTTCACCCCAGCAGCCTTCATAAAGCTCGAGGGAGTAGCCCGACGCACTGAGAAAGTCAACAAGCAACACCCTAAACCCTAAAACCTGAACCCCAAACCCTAAACCCTAAACCCTAAGCCCCTAAACCCTACTCCCTTAAGACTCTCGGATCCAAGCATGCGGCATTGCCCGTTGCGTCGTTGCCCGGCGTTGAGCTGCAACCCGGCATCTCTGCAGCCACGCCTCCGTGAAGAAGAGACCTGCTGAGAAGGGTTTAGGGTTTAGGGTTTAGGGTTTAGGGTTTAGGGTTTAGGGTTTAGGGTTTAGGGTTTAGGGTTTAGGGTTTAGGGTTTAGGGTTTAGGGTTTAGGGTTTAGGGTTTAGGGTTTAGGGTTTAGGGTTTAGGGTTTAGGGTTTAGGGTTTAGGGTTTTTTAGGTTTAGGGTTTAGGGTTTAGGGTTTAGGGTTTAGGGATGTGTCGAGGAGAGCGCTCATGGCTACAAACTGACTGCTGTCATTGTCGTGTGTTCACGAGCCATGACCCAGGAGGCCTTCACGCGACGGAGTCTCCAAAGTGTAGGCCAGGTGGGCCAGATACCTAGCGTGCAGGAGTCCATCCCATCAAAGTAGCACGGGTGCTCAGGCGAGCCCACGGTCTACACATCGAACGCCTGCTGCTGAGCGTCAACCTCACAACAGAGCCTTGAAACTCCAACTCCAACCCCCTAAGCTCTGCCGAGTAATTGCTCATGACTCTCCATCCTTGATCAAAGGCGCCACTGCCCAAGTGTAGATCCTGTGCTGACTCGCCTTCTGCCTGGCGGCATTAAGGAAACGGGAGGCATAGTTTAAGCCCCCTAAACTCCATGCACTCCTAACTTCCTAAACTCCCTAGTTGTCCAGTTTAGGGGCCAAAGCGGCTCGGGTTTGAGGGTTTAAGGGATTTGGGGCTCACGGACTCTGGGGTTCTTCCCTAAACCCTAAACCCTAAAAAGGGAGGCATTTGGGGGCTTGAGGGTTTGGGGTCTCCGCCTGCAGCAGCTTCGCAGACTCCCGAAGAACATCCTGCACCATCTGCACCGGGCGTTTGAGCTCAACATCCCTCTCATGCTAACCCGTAGCCCCAAGCCGTAAACTTGGAGTAAGAATCCGTTCGGGCCTCAAAGATTTGAGACTTGGACCCCAGTGAAGCCCAAGTCAACTTAGCACTGCTTTGCAAATCGGCGATTTCGCAGCAATTTTGCGGGATTAAACGCAGGAAGAACGATCATGCTGGTGCGAGAATGTAGAGGCAAAAAGAGGGCGGCTGCCAAATTGTGGGAAGATGCTTACGAAGCAGGTTGCGAGGATGGAAGCAAGCCGCGTATCAATTGGAACGTGGTGAGGCGCCCGATTGTGGGTGAGCCCTCATCCGACTCCGAGGGTCTTGAAGCAACTGCTTTGAAGCTATGAAGCTTCGCAGGGAGTTGGAGGAGTCGCCGTGGGGTCGGTGGCCAAGGAGCCATGTACGTGCTCCTAAAGACTTTCGGAAAGGTCGTCTGAAGAGAAACGGACCAGGGCTTCGGTTTCAACTTCGGAGGCTCGATGACCTCCCCACCATCGATTTCGTCGATGGTGTTCCGGCCGTGTGACCGAAGCTGTGGGGCTTACATGGCTTGGCTTCCTGGTTTGTTGTGGGCATCAATCAACTTCAACGTCATGGCCCTGGCTTGTCGCTGGCGTGGACGGTCTCGTGCGCGAGCCTGATTGAACCTAACCTCGTACCGCCGTTCTCACCACCCACGCACAACCCAAAAACCCTAAGGCCGGCCCGAAACCCCACGGCCCATTGCGCCTTTAAGCCCTATAAAGACTCTAAGCCCCCAAGTCTATCTACAGATTCGGGTGGGTTTGGGGCCCCCTGAAGACCCCGCAAAGGGCCTCCCGGTGGTCTCCAAGCACAGCGCAAGCCCACGCCTCGACAGCTTGGGGTGACTTCTGCGATTTCCGCGTTGTTTTGTTGGGGGAGTGGGGGGGGGGGGGGTTGGGGGTTAGGGGTCCTGGTCCTGGTGTCGACGTTACGGGAAGGGGGGGGGGGGGCGGGGTCCACTCACGAAGAACCAGGGTTTATGGCTTGGGGGCTTGTAAGGGCTTGTAGGGCTAGGGATCGTATGACGCCCAGAACTGCAATCTCAGGACTCATATTATGTATTCTTTCTCTCTCACACACACACGTACTTGACCCGGGGCAGTAGTCCTGAACGAACGGTTCCTCCACTGACACGGTCCTCTGCTTCTCGCCTCTGGTTTCTGTTCCATGCTGTACCCAAGAGACCTGACACCAATGAACCCTGGACCTCGAAACCCCACCCAGAGGCCGAACAAAACTCGGGGAGCCCGACCAGGTTGGAGCCCTCGCGCGAGGACGCGCCCGCCAGAGCCTTGGCTTCAGACTTCAGAGGACAGAGGAGATACGGGGGCTGGCCGGGTCATCCCTGAAAGCTTCACCAAACCCAAAGCCCTGCAAGGTAGGCCCCCACCCCCCTCCCCCCCAAGGTTTGCCTAAACCCTAAACCCTAAGACTCAAACCCACCCTCTAGAGCCCAAGAAGCCCTCAAACACACCACATTACACACATGCCACACGCTAGCGGCCTCCTGGGCTCGCGCCGCCAGCCCCACACTTCGGAAGTCCAGCGTCGCCATCGACCACGCCTCACAAGGTTTTTTTGCATTTGGGAATGTTGTTTTGGTGGGGGAGTTGGGGGTTGAGGGGTCGGAGGGTCAGGGGGTCAGGGGGGTCAGGGGTTCGGGGTTCGGAGTTTTGGGTTTTGGGTTTAGGGCTTGGGGCAGAGGCTTCGCGGGATTCCAGGACATGAAGCCCCACCAAAAACTACCTGCTGGTAACAAGAACACCTACAAACCTGAACGCTTCACATCCTAAAAAAAACTCAACCCGAAACCCTAAACCCGAAACCCGAAACCCTAAACCCTGAAGGGTCTGGGGAGCGACTGGGACCCCGACGAGGGCAGACATCTCCTCAGACCGGAGGCTGGCGGGGTTCCTCAGTTCCACCGAGTCAATGTGGCTAGGGGGGGGTACCCTTTTTACTTTTTGGAAGTATTCAAGGGATTCTTCGATTTGGGGTAGAAAAGGGGTACAGCACCCCCCCCCCCTATTTTGGGAAACGAGCATGAAAGCACTAACATTCCGAAGACAAGCTGGGTGAAAGCAAAAGCCGAAAAGACAATCTGAACGCAGCTTCGAAAAACAGGCACACGAAACCACGAAACCACGATGAGCTCACCAGAAACGTCTTCAGACAAACGCTGCTGCCGACACTCGCTCGTTAACAAGCCCTATAGATGCTAGCAAAATATGACACTTAAGCAAAGGCCGAAGACCAACACCCACGGTTTCACATCCAACGCACCCGAATCTTCTAGGAAAGCTTCAGACCAGCGGGCAGTTCGAGGGCCGTTCGCAACTACACTCATTGAAGGTCGCAGGTCGCAGTCTCGACAGGGCAGAGAAATCGAAAGTCACTGCAGGTCGCAGCTGAAAGGCCATGAGCCCGCGTCGTGTCAGATGGAGACAAGAACTGGAGGACAACAACAGAACGTCCGAAGGAAGGTGCGCCGGGGACGCCCTTAAGGACACCTAGCAACCCCAGATGCCACTGAGGCTGCAGTGCTGGTTAGGGTTGAGCCATTGGAGAGTTAGTCTCGGGCGGGCAGCTCTGAAACTTTAAAGCGGGGAACATACTGAAGTGAACTACCTGCTCAACACTCACAAACACACCATGGGCAGATGCCACCTCTTCAAAGAAACGCGGCGTCCAAGCCCTACAACCCCTGATTGCTGAGGCTTTCGTTCAAACCACCGCGTATCGGACCTGAGCACCCAAAACCAGAAGGAAGTCATCAACCGGCCAAGGATCTCTCTCGCGAAGCTGGATGCCTCTTCGCAAAGCGGGCGGTGGAAGAATGCCAGTGATGCAAACCTCAAGGAGCGGGTGCTTTCCTCTTAGCATTGAAGGCTTGGGTGCTGTGGTTGAGGGGAAGGGGGGGGGGGGGGGGGGTTTTTTGGGGGGGCTTAAACGAAAAACGCCCTTCGCACACTCTGAAAAAGTATTCCCACACAAGATCCACTTTATCATACACATGCATTACACCCATCCTACGGGCCGTGTTGAGGCTCAGGGTTCAGGGCGGGGGTCAGAGGCTTGAAGGAGTGTTTGGAGGGTCTAGGGGTCAAAAAGCAGGGGGGGCTTAGGGTCTTGACAGGCGCTAGAGAGGTCACCCTCCAAATCTGGCAATCCGAAACTACGGTGCTTAACCCTCGAGCCCTTAGCCCTAAACCCAAAACCCTATCAACCCCTAACCCCTAAAACCCGAAGCTGCTCCTATTGCACCCAGGCCCTGAACACCACACAAGCTGCCGAGCAAGGCGCGACCAGCAAATGTTAGCCATCTGCTGCGCGGAGTAGGCCGCGCGGCCTCTTGCCGCGGTCTCGGGTCGGGGTTTTGGGGGTTTGTGGTTTGTAAGGTTTTGGGTTTAGGGTCAAGGGTTTAGGGATGGGGGTAAGAAGGCAGCATGGAGAAGTGGGGCAAGCACGTCTTGGTGCGGGCCTCGTGCCTCCGCGCGCCACGATGCGGCCCGCTTGTCTGAAAAGAGCCCGGTCGGCAACTTTGGCACATCCCAGGGCCCAACAAAGGTTGGAGAGACCTGGCAAGGCCGAGGGATGCCCAGAGCTTTAATTTTGCTGACTCATCACGCCCACCCTACCTAACATGTCTGAGACCTTCGGAGAGAGGATCATGATCCCAGCGCCGGAGAGGGTGGGAAAGGTTTTGCCGAAATCGAGTTGCTTCTCTTGCTTGCTGCGGCGAGCAACTTTCAGTTCTTCCCGCTCCTTCTTTGCACACGGGCAAGCAACGCCCCTATGCCATTGGTATACTAACTAGCGACATGCTCAAGCTGCATGGATGATCCACTTCGCTCGGGAACTTTTAAGGGAGTTGCTGTTGAGGTTGAGTATGGGAGATGACGACTCTGAATCAGCTACCAGTAGGACCCGCAAACCTCCTTCCTGGCGCACCTTGCGCGTCGAACTCGTGAATCTTTGGAGTTGCAGCTGCTGCAAGGGCTTCCATTTCCTTGGGCCCAGGGTGTGTTGAACAGAAGTTCTTGCAAGCTTTCTCAAGCGGCTTGACATTTGGGGGGTTTTATTGAAAATAAGGGCCCCCTAATTATAGCCCCCAAATAGTAGGATTCCCTTATAATAAGGACCCCACTCAGGTGCCCCCTCATTCGGAAACACCCATTTCAAACCCCCCCTGAGACACCCACTCCCAGGTCGCTGGAGCTCGTGGCCGCGAAGCCTCCGAGGAGTTTAGGCAGCATTTTAGGAGGTTTCGGGTTTCAGGGTTTAGGGCTAGGGCTTAAGGGTTTTAGGATTTAGGGTTTAGGATATAGGGTTTCGGGTCTAGGGTTTAGGGTTTAGGGGCTTAGGGTGCTTCGCAAGCTTGCCGTTGGAGGGCTCCCGTGGGTGGGTTCTACTGTTGGGGAGGCGGGGGTTCAGGGATGCTGCTGCTGCCGTGCCCTTTATGGCTCCCTCCTTGACGTGCACATGAGCCGGGAATCTGTATATAAGTGGGTAAGGAACTCTCCACAGATTTGGGGGTCTACGAGAATCAGGGACCCCGAATATATTCCCCACATAGTAGGATTCCCTCTATTTCGATAAGGACCCCAAGAAGGTACCCTGCTAATATCGAAAACCCCCATGTCACCGAACCCCCGGACTTCCCAGAGGCTGCGCCAAGCGACTCCAAGCCACGAGCGACAAGTCGCGAGCTGAGAGCGCCTTCCGGAGGGTTTAGGGTCTAGAGTTTGGGGTTTGGGGTTTAGGGTTTAGGGCCCAACCTTCCCAAAAGCCACCCTGAGCAGGTGGACCTCCCAGCCGCGCTTCCGCAGCGCCAGCACGGCCGCGGGGGCCTCCGCGCCGAGCGCGGCCGCGGCCCAGAGGACCAGGACCAGCTCCGCCGGTCTCGGCACGCTTTGGGGGGCTTAGGATTTCGGGTTTCGGGTTTAGGGTTTCGGGTTTCGGGTTTAGGGTTTAGGGTTTGGGGTTTAGGGTTTGGGGCTTAGGGTTTGGGGCTTAGGGCGGGGCAAATGAGCGCTCAAGGCTGCTGAGTTTGGGGGGCTAAGCGCGCTTTTTCACTCCGCTAAGTGGCTTTCTGAAGGTGCAGGATGGTAGATGCACGGTTCCAAGTCAGCATCCGTCTACGGCTGCGTGTTGGGTTGTCGGAGTCTCCACCTTGATCAATATGGGGGTTTACGAAAATAGGTGACCCCAATATAGACCCTCAAATAGAATAGAATCCCCTTAAAGGGACCCCTAAAAAGGGTACCCCCTATTTCGCAAACCCCCCCTGTGTAGTGCCAAAAAGAGCCGATTCTGACAGGCCCCTGCCTCCAATCTCGGACGTTCGTTCCTCCGCGCGGCGGGTCCTCTTAAGGTTTAGGGTTTAGGGTTATAGGGTTTAGGGTTTAGGGTTATAGGGCTATAGGGTTATAGGGTTCAGGGTTTAGGGTTGTGTTTGGAGCCAGAGGCAACACGCTAAACAGCAGCGTAAGAATTGTCACACATGCTAGTGCCGGGAGGTAACATGGCAGGGGACGGGAAACACCACCCAAGCCCCCAACCCAACCTCTACACACACCCTAAATTTTCTAGATTCCGTAAATTCAATTCCCTAAATTCCTAAATTCCCTTGATTCCCTAGAATTCCCTATTCTCCGTGAATTCCATAAATGCCCTAAATGCCCTACAATTCCTAAACTTGCCTACAGTTCCCTCAAGCCCCTAAATACCAAATCCCCCCCTCCCCAAAGCCAGAACACCCACTTACAAAGCCCCTTAAGTGCCCTGGTATGGCTATAAGTACCTCAGTTGTCCAGTAACCTGGGGGAACTAAAGGTGAACCTTTGGGATTCTAAGGGGAGTATATCACCCCAAAAAAGTTTAAGGTTACCTACTCTACTACTACGGTACAATTATAATTGGTTAATAAGTACCATGAACCTCCCAAGAGCAGTCCTGGTCAGGCTTGGTGGCTTCCTTCACTCCTTGGAGCATGCTTAGGGGTATGTAGGGCATTTAGGGGGTTTAGGGTTCAGGGTTCAGGGTTCAGGGTTCAGGGTTCAGGGTTCAGGGTTTAGGGTTTAGGGTTTAGGGTTTAGGGTTTAGGGTTTAGGGTTTAGGGGTTAGGGGTTAGGGTTTAGGGTTTAGGGTTTAGGGTTTAGGGTTTAGGGTTTAGGGTTTAGGGTTTAGGGTTTAGGGTGTGTTGAGGTCAGTATTCATGGCTTCTTGGACGCTACTCTTTTCCTTGAAGCCACCAGGAGGCTGTCGGAAGCCGTCCGGAGGAGCATTTCCTCAGGAGCGAAGCTGCGACGGCAATAGAGGTGTGGCCGTTGAAGGTTTGGAGATAAAGTCTACCTGACCCCCCATCTCCTATTCGACTACACGTGGGGATAGCGGCGTCGGGGACTGAAGGCGAGTCACTGCAAGAGAGCCTTTCGTCCAGTGCATCTGTCGCACCCGAGTAAGCTCTACACTGATGAATCGATATTTTGTCGCGCTCACACCTCAATCTCTGTGACGGGGCCGTCGACAAATGAAGCCGAGTCCCCATGAGCCCTCTCACGCCGAATTAAGTGCATGGTGCACGTAGGTACCATGGTACACACGGGGGTTTCCGAAAGTAGGGGCACCTTATTGGGGTCCTTTTTGGGGGCTCGATATTCGGGTCCCTGATTTTCGTGAACCCCCACATGCTCTAGCTGATTGTAGACCACAGGCCTGCACATGCGTGCTCAACTTCCAGATTTCCGGAAGTCGAGAAAAGAGTGGCATCGCCTGCACAGGCCGCTCTGCTCTGCAGCGAAAGAAGCAAGCGAGAGCCGGCCCACATAGTCCCGTGAATTCGGCACTCGCAGAGCTGTGCGAACGAACCTTTAACATACAGGGCTCGGGGAAACCCCGTCGCCGCGTCTGAAACCAGCAACCCACCCGAAAGCACACAACGCAACCAAGAAACCTGTGGTCTCAATGCTGCATGGCTGCGACCACTACCCCTGCAACTACGACCCTCACGGCAGCAGTCGGGCTGCCGCTGATCTGGGGCTCGTACTCGTAGGACAACTTGCCGGTGCTCGACGTCGTCGTCGTGGTGAGTGACAAGGTGCTGGCGGTTGCGCTTGTTGAGGTGATGATGTTGGAGCTTGTGGAGCTCGTGGAGCTCGTGGAGCTTGTGGAGCTCGTGGTTCGGGACCGGGTGGTCAACCTTGTGGTCCTCCAGGTCGTTGTCCACGAGCTCGCGGTCGTGGAAACCGTGGTGCTGGAGCTCGTGTTCGTGAAGCTGGTGGTCACGGAGCTTGTGGTCGTTGAGCTTGTCATGGTCCTGGATTCTGTGCTGGAGCTTGTGGTGCTGGAGCTCGTGGTGCTGGAGCTCGTGGTGCTGGAGCTTGTGGTGCTGGAGCTTGTGGTCCTGGAGCTTGTGGTCCTGGAGCTTGCGGTCCTGGAGCTTGCGGTCGTGGAGCTTGTGGTCGTGGAGCTTGTGGTCGTGGAGCTTGTGGTCGTGGAGCTTGTGGTCCTAGTCCTGGAGTTTGTCGAGCTTGAGGTGCTGGAATTGGTCGACGTCATGGTCGTGGAGGTGAGAGCATTTGAGATCGCGAGCGTGGAGCTGCAATCGCAGAATTGCAATGCTTCACTGGTAGAAAGCTGCCAACCGATGATGTCCACCATGGCCGTGTGACTACCACCCCCACCCGTGTAGTCGTAGACGCCAATCGAGGCAGTGAGCGTGTAGCTTCCTGCGCTGTCCAAAGGAACCGCAAAGACCCGGGGGGTGGCATCAGTGACGACCTCTGAGGCCGGGCCCAGTCCACGCTCGAGCCAGGCATAAGTGGAGTCTGGGCCTTGGAGTTTGAACAACATCTGGTAGGCCGCTCCGTTCTGGCCCGTGGCATTGTACTCCACCACAAGAAGGTCGCCAGCAGCTACGTCTTGCAGCGAAACCGTTGTGGTGACGCCACCGCAGCTCTCTGCTTGGTTCGCGCAGAAGGCCTGGCTGGGGTCCACTGCCGTCATTGTTCCGGTCGCCGTGTAGCGTGTAATGCTGTTCCCTTGATCCAGCTGCTGAGTGTTCGACTCGCACAAAGCCCCGGCCCACAGCCCTGAGGCCGTAAGCTTCCAGCTCCCGGCTAGGCCGTCTGCTTCTGCTCCTGCGCAGCTCAAAGGCCAGGAGATGTTCGCAATGTCGAAGACGTTTTGCCACACCTGGGGGGCCAAGGATGATTGTCCCGTGAAGAAACTCGGTGTGAGAAAGAATCACCCCAAGAAGGGGGCTCAGAGCCCTGCAGACTTTTTGATATCCGCCTCGGCCCCAGAACCGAAAAAGGCGGCTCGAAAAAGATCTGGTCTCCTTCCCCCCAACCTTTCCCCTCACCCTACAGGTACGTCCTTAAGCAATGGCCAATCGCACAAGGGATGACTGTTCCACAGTGTTCCGGTGAAGCAAACGGATCCAAACGTGGTCTTCATTACTGCACACGATAGCTCTTTCTGGACAACACCTGCGTGGCCTGCTACAATGGATCAATCATCTAACCGAATTTCTTGCCTTCCTCAATGGCTCCGTCAGGCATGCACACCCGTTAACGTAACAATTTTGGGACCCCTGACAACCCTCCCTGAGAGCCCTCCTAGGACCCTGGAAAACTCCGACATACCCGGCCAGGTTGTCGAGACGGCACGCGCAAGCGTTTAGAAATTAAACTCCGAAGCTAGGACATCACTGCGCTTTCCTCTTGCCATGTTTGCACAAAAACCGGGCCGCCACCCTGTCCCACCTGAGTATGTGGCATCGAATAGATGTCGGCCTGGAAGAAGATGTAGATCTCATTGGCCCACGAATAGAACGACAACTCGTTTTGACCTGCAGTGCCGACCTCCGCACATCGATCGCCCCTGAACCCTGGACGGCAGACGCATGTCTTAAAATTGGCGTTCCTGGCATCGTTGATGCAAACCCCGTTGTTGTGGCACCACTCTTCATCGCTGCATGGGTCCTCGGTCCCCGTGATGACCGGACATGCCTGCGTACAAGAGAGGGATGCCAGAGCATGGCCGGCCGTCGCCCCTTCTCCAGCAGGGAAGAAGACCCATGCTGCAAGAAGGCAGCTGGAGAACGACACGGCTGCTGCCATTGCTGACTTTACAACTTGGGGCCGCCGGCTTTTGATTCAAACTTTGGCAGAGGTGCACGGACTGGAGCGAGGATGTGGAAAACCATGACTTGTTTGTATTCTCTGTTTTCCGGTGACTATGAGTAGGAACCGTATTGGCAAGCAATTTACAGGATCGAAGCGAGCGAGCGAGCAAGTGAGCGAGCGCGAGAGAGAGAGAGAGAGACAGAGTGCCAGAGAGCGAGAGACGGAGTGCCAGAGAGAGACAGAGTGAGTGCCAGAGAGAGAGAGAGAGAGAGAGAGAGAGAGAGAGAGAGAGAAAGCGAGAGATTGCGAGCGAGGGAGAGGTTCTGATTTTCATTCGATGCTTATCATGACCCAGAATGAGACCAAGACTCTAATAACAATACAATGATTAGAGCCATAAGAACGGCAAGAATGGGTCAGAAACACTCCGAACCCCCAAATGCAGCCCAGCCGCCAAGCCAACTGGCCACTGTGCCTTGGGTGCGCTTCGGAAGCGCTGGGCGCAGGCCGTGAGGGCTGCGCAGAGGCCCTGGGAAGGACGAATTTGGGTCTAGGAAAGGGGAACTTTAATGAACTCCAATGGACATCTCGGAGATTTCGGGCGGCTTTCTTTCAGGGAGTGGGAGTGGGAGGGGGGAGGGGGTCCTCCCAGCCCTGCCCTGCCTGGGGCTCCATGCGCGCGGCCTGGGCACCCGCGGCCGCCACCAGCGCAGCCACTGCAGCGGCATCCCCGCCGAGGCGGCCGAGGGCCCAGAGGAGGTTGGAGGTGTCCTGTGACGGGTTCTCTTCGAAGCTTCTCTTACTGCTGGTTACTGGGGAATACCCTTTTAGGGATTGCATATGGTAACTTATTCCCCCATTCCCGACTCACCAACAGTAAGTTCTTCGCAGAAAACGTTCGAAAGTTTGCAACTACTACGTGGGTTTTGGGTCTATGACTACAGGCTCTTGCGTGTTCAGGATGTTCATCCCGCGGCACGAGGCGCAGCATCCCAGATCTGACGTCCAAGTCCGCCTTAAGCCCCGTTGAGCCGAGCCTGTGGTGTCAGGGACTCCGGCCGCTGCCGTCTTAGCTGCGGCGACAGTCCTCAGCCAACTTTCGTGAAACCGCTGTGGAGTTGATCCCCTTACAGTAGGGGTTCATGACAGCCTGCATTTCTTCCAAGGGCTCGAAATACGACTCCAGAATTCGCTCAGGGTCGACACTCTGGCCCTCATACAGTGCCCTGTAGTGTGGGCAAGGTTCTCTGAAGCAGGTCAGGGCAGTCTACGTGCCAGCTTGCCATCGCCCAAAGCAGCTGCGCCGCATCCCTGATTGAGGGGCTCAGACCGGATTCAAGTCTGAGGCTTCGATCCCATATCGCGTGATATGATCGCAAAACTTTCGAGACAGTCGTGCCACCCTTGCCAGAGGCCACCCGCCTGGGTTCCACTTCCTCACCCAAAGAGTCCAGCAATTGCACGGCAGCGTGCTTGACCTGCGAACCCGCTTCGACGTGCCTTTTTGCTTTTTCTCGGGGTCTTTGCACGGATGTTATAGGGTTGCCAGGTTCAGGACTCAGGGCTGCTTAGTGTGTAGGATTTCGGCCTCGCACACAACAAAACACCTGTGGGGAGGCAAAGCGACGTGAGCCCAGTCCCCCTGACATCGGGACCTTCCGACACGTCATTCCTACGTCTGCACCACTTACACAGAGAATCCGAGGCGTCGAGGATGAGCTGTTCGAAAGGTTAAGGGTTGAACTCGTTTATGCACTGTTAAGCCCTTTTCAGCCCATTTAAGCCCATTATCAGTCTGGGCCCTTCTCTAAACCCTTGTATAAGCCTTTGTATAGGCTCTTCAAGCCGAAACCCCGTAATGAACACTGCAGCCCTGAGACTCAACCCCCCTCCCGCAAAGGTGCCTCGGTGAGCAGGCCCAGGGCACTCTCACGGAGATTCGGCTCCTAAAAAAGGAGGGTTCAGGGTTTAGGGTCTAGGGTCTGGGGTTTAGGGTTTAGGGTTTAGGGTTTAGGGTTTGGGGTTCAGGGTTTAGGGTTTAGGGTTTAGGGTTTAGGGTTTAGGGTTTAGGGTTTAGGGTTTAGGGTTTAGGGTCTAGGGCTGAGGGAGGATTAAGGGGAGGAGACACTTGAGCCGCAAGCTTTGCCTCACTTTCGGGTTTAGGGCCGACGGGCCTTCAAAAACGTACGGACGTAAGAAAGCCCTCAACCTCTACATCCACAGAACCCGTAAACCTCCTGAACCCCCAAAACCTCCAAATATGCAAAACACCCCTAAAACCCTAAACCCTAAACCCTAAACCCGGGAAGAGGAGAATGAGAGAGAGTGAGAGAGAGAGAGAGAGAGAGGGAGGGAGAGAGAGAGAGAGAGTTTGAGAGAGACAGAGAGAGAGAGAGAGAGGGTTGGCTTCTAACAGCTCGCCTGGGCCAGCCGCGCCGCGGCCCAGGCACCCCTCGCCAGCCATGGCATCCGTGGCCTGGGTGTTGGGGTTTAGGGTTTAGGGTTTAGGGTTTAGGGTTTGGGGTTTGGGGTTTGGGTTTAGGGTTTTGGGTGTTACGGTTTAGGGTACTTGGCTTCAGAAGCAAGGAATAGGGCTTGGGGTTTTTGGGGTTTTGGGCTTAGGGTTTGGACGGGTTTAGGGTTTGAGGATTCAAGTAAGGGGTGTTGAAGGGAGTCGGGTTTTCTTGAACATTTGGGACTTTGGGGGGATGTGTACTGTAGGAGAACCTGTCGGGTTTCAGGACGTAGGGGCTTGGGATTTAGGGAATCAACCTTGCCAACAGGAACCACGAACAGACAGCCATCTACATGCAGACCTTACGCCCTTAACATGATCACATCCCAAAAGGGCCGATGACTCTTGATCCAACAGATGCCCTGGCCAGCGACGTAGGATTTCCTCGGGGCCCCTCCTCCAGGCCCGCAAGGCGCCTGCGCACGCGCGCATTCGCGCGCATCAGAAGCTTGAGGATTGAGGCTTATAAGGCTGAAGGTTTGTGAAATCTATGAGGTCTATGTTTTACAGGGTTATTGAGGTTCACAAGGCTTAGAAGGCTTCGAGGGCCAAGACAATGTGAAGCGCATCAGGTGGCTGGGACGAGCCGCGGCCTTCTCATGCCATCCATGACCTCTCTGGCCACTGCATCCACCTGACATTGACACTGCGAATGCCAGCTCTTGACTAACACGGCCGAAACCCTAAACCCCTAAAACCCGCACCAGGCTTGAACCACCCCCAAAAACCATCAAAGATGCCCGACAGTCCCAGCCTGCGCACTGCGAGCCCCCTTCGCCACGCGGTGGAGCGCAGTCAGGAGGTTGAAGAAGTCCTAACACCCGAAGTTCAGGGCTTGGGGGTATTGAGGGGCGTTTCTGGGGTTCCTGGCACGGAGTCCCGGGCTTTAGTCCAGGGGTGGTTTCGGCATATTTCGCTCACAGGGCTTGTTCGAAGACCTCGGGCGTGTTCGAGGAACAGCTCTTAATCTTGCTGCCACACAAGTAATTGGCGACATGCTTGTGCGGGATTCTCGGTGTTCGAAGCATCTTTGGCATTGGAGCTCTTGGGTTTGAAGACCCGCCTCTTCAGCCCCAGACAACCCGAACCGAAAACAGCTCAAAAAACCTGGAGTGGGCGTCACCTCTTGGGCCCACCGGGGTTTAGGGTTTATGGGTTTTGGGGTTTAGGGTTTCGGGGCAAGCCATCTTCCTGCGAACTTGTTCCCCCCCCCCCCCCCAAAAAAAAGGGAAGCGGGCTTGAGACGCCCGAGGTTAAAAGCAATTGCCCCAAGTAGAGGCAAGCCCCGAGCACGTGCTATTGGTGCATCCTTGGCAGCCTTTGAGCAAACACTGCCACAGAGGCGTATGTTCTATCATCCAAAGTCCCCCACCCAAACAACGCACCAAGATAACGACTGTAGGGACCCAAACCCTAAACCCTAAAGCCCTGAACCCCAAGCTCTACAACCCTAAACCCCATGCTTGTGAGGCATCGGGGCTAATTAGAATACTTAGTGGCAACCAAGAAGCTCCCCCCCGCCCTTCCCTCCCCGCCGACCACCCAGAGTCCAAGAAATCAGGAAGGATGGCCTACAACCTCAGACACTCACCAAGCTCCCAACCCGAATCCTACACCCCAAACATCCTAAACCCTAAACCCTACACCCTAAACCCTAAACCCTAGACCCTAAACCCTAAACCCTAACCTCAACACCCTGAAAACCCTACAACCTGGAGACAAAACAGTTCGCGCCGGTCCAGGGAGGAGGCCCCACCCAATTCCGAGAGCACCTCACAGCCGTGGGAAGCTTCGGCTTTAGAGGGATTTAGGGTTTGGGGTTTAGGGTTTAGGGTTTAGGGTTTAGGGTTTAGGGTTTAGGGTTTAGGGTTTAGGGTTTAGGGTTTAGGGTTTAGGGTTTAGGGTTTAGGGTTTAGGGTTTAGGGTTTAGGGTTTAGGGTTTAGGGTTTAGGGTTTAGGGTTTAGGGTTTAGGGTTTAGGGTTTAGGGTTTAGGGTAGGGTTAGGGTTTAGGGTTTAGGGTTAGGGTTCAGGGTTTTGGGGTTCAGGGGTTTGGGGTCCGAAGCTAAACCCTAAACCTTAAACCCCTAAACCCTAAATCCTTGAACCCTAAACCCTAAACCCTAAACCCCAAACCCCTCACCCCTCAACTTCCTTGAGCCCCAACCCAAGGCCCACCTGGGGGAGCTCGTGAGGGGCGCGGCGGCGGAGTTGCACCGCCACCTCCTGCTGGAAGGCCTTGCCCTTGAGCCGCTTTTTGCTGAGAGTTCTGGAGGTTTAGGGTTTAGGGGTTTAAGGGTTTAGGGTTTAGGGGTTTAGGGGTTTAGGGGTTTAGGGGTTTAGGGGTTTAGGGGTTTAGGGGTTTAAGGGTTTAGGGTTTCGGGGTTTAGGGGGTTTAGGGTTTAGGGTTGGGGGTCTGGGTTGTAGTCGGAAGAGTTGGGAAGGTGAAGTGGTTTCAGAGTTCGGGGAGCCCAGTGTTAGGGTTTGGGATTTCGGAGGGTGGGTTCTCTCCCTTAGCTCACAGCTTTGGGGCCTTGGTGCTCAAGCCAGGAAAGGCGGTTGGGGCTCAGGGGTCTTCGGGCCTCAAAGCCCCAGTTGCAAACTCAGATTCTCTGGTACCCTGCATGCCAAATGACCTCATAGGCACTAAACTTGGCAGATGGCCTGATTTGGTCGTCCAGGCTTCTGGTGCGGGCGACCACTGAGACGCCGGAAGCCTCAGGGTTGTCAAAACCCACAGCATGATCTACAGAGAGCGAGGCATGGAGCTGCCAGTTGTTCCGCATGCTCCGACAAGCAAACCTGCGCTTTTCCCATTTCGAAAGTTAAGCTTCGACAAGCCGCGCCCCAAGCGGAAGGCCGCCTGCAACGCACTCGCGCAGCACCTGCAGCCGTTGGTTTTGTGGCTGTTCCACCCCTACCGAGGCAAGCAAAGTGATCCCGCCTGTGAGAAGGCGACAACGGCACACAAAGACACAAGTGGTTGCACCTGCCCTTTGTGGTCCCGTGGTGGGGTGGGGGCAAACACGACACGGAACCAAATGCCTATGAAAAGAACTTCCCAAGGTCCTGGCCTCTCCCAGGCCATGCGGTTGGTCCCATTGGCTGCAAGGTCGCGCACACCCCCCGCGGGAGTTCGAGGATTTGGGGAATTTCAAGAGGGTGTGGGGCTTTCTGGGTTTGGCCATCTTACTCTGGCGCTGGGGTTGTTCTTTAGACGGGCCCTAGTAAGGCTTTGCTTTCGCCTAAATGCCGCCTAACTACTGATACGGCCAGAAAGGAGAGCGAGTGTGTCAGATACAAGGGCGAAATGGGTTGCAAGCTGGGCGTCACGTCATGAGTGTCACGCCGAACCCAGGTCTGCATCCCTACCTGCCCACGGGATCCCCCCCCAAAACTCCTGTGTTTTCGCGACTGGGGGGCTGCGCTGAAGCCGCGCCCGTGTGGGCGCCTGCGCCGGCGCCTCGCTGCATCGCCCGAAGTGTTTTTTGCTGCAGCTCTCCTCCTCCCATCTCCGATGCACCTCCGAGTCCAGCAAACTCCACGCGGGGCCCTCAGCGCAAGAGCTTGCCGACTGTTCGTGGAGCCAGGGGGTTCACGAGAATCCCAGAGCCAGCGGGCCCTGCAACTTGAGAACCTCCGCAGATCAGTGCACCGGCGCCGTGGGCGTCACGGCGCGCCAGGTGGCCGCGCTCAGGAAGCAGGCACCCACGAGGCCGAAGAAGGCGCGGTTCCCGGACCGCGGCGCGGAGCGGAAGGCCTCAGGCTCGGGGTTTAGGGGTTTGGGGGTTTATAGAAATTGCATAGGGTTTGGGTCCCAATGACGTTTTGAGCGAACGTTTTGAGTGAACGTTTTGAGCGAAACGTTTTGAGCGAGAGTTTCCGTTTAGAGCCTATTTTTGTTTTTTGGGGGGAGGGTTCGAGCGAAAGTTTTGAGCGAAAGCTTCTGTTTTAGAGCCTAATTTACTTTTTTGGGGGTTTGTCCCGTCCTTGGCTGGCCTCCTGAGACTCTTTGGGTGAGAAGGCCCCAGAGGTTTAAGTAAATTGAGCATTTGGCCTCCTAGGCGCTGTGGATGAATGTGCTTCTCTGCTTGTCAGCTGTTTAGACCAATAACCTGGGAAAACTCAAGATGATACGACATACAATTTCTATCTCTCTTGAGGGTTTAGGATTTAGGGTCTTTAGGGTTTAGGGTTTAGGGTTTCGGGTTTCGGGTTTCGGGTTTAGGGTTTAGGGTTTAGGGTTTAGGGTTTAGGGTTTAGGGTTGGTTTATCCCCCGAACCGAACTCTCAGGAATCCCTGAAGCCCTGGAGGCCTCCATGGCAGAGTGGAGCCCCGCGGCCCCGAAGACTGCGGTGCCCAGCACCCGGCACTGCATGCACTCCTTCTCCTCAGCTTCTCAAGGGTATATAGGGTTATTTAGGGTTTACTTCGGGGTAATTTAGGGGTTATATAGGGACTATATGAGGTATATATAGGGGTTATATAGGGGAATCACATTAAGGGTACCTTCTAGGGGTCCCTCCTTATACCCATTAAGCCTCATGAAGCTTCTTCGGAGAGAAGTTCGTTACAGAAGTAAGCTGTTATGGGGGTTTAGGGGATAGGGCTTTTGGATGTTTCCCCTTACGTTAACAATCCTTAGTAGAGAGGGTTACTATGCTCCCTGTTAAGGACTGCTAGCATAAGGGGGAACATCCCAACAGCAAGCTCTCATGGCGCTTAGGGTCTTAAGTTGCTACAGAAGTAAGCTTTTTGTGGGCTTCAGGGTGTAGGGTTGGAGGGGATGCCTTTCTTCTCCTGGGCAGTGCTTCACTGCCCACCAACAATATCTCGGGTGGACAAGGACTTTAGGAATCCAAGGGAAGGACAAGAGAACATCCACGGCACGTTTTTTCCACAGCGTTCTCTGTAAAAAAGGCATCCAAGCATCGCCCGGCCCTGGCCGCCGCACCTGGCTGGGGGTGTTCCGCGTCTAAGTCTGGGTCGGGGCGAAGTGATGTCAAGGGTGTAGGCGTTTCAGGGTGTAGGCGTTTTAGGGTGTAGGGTTGAGGGTTTAGGGTTTAGGCTGGTTTAGGCGGGTTTAGACGGGTTTAGGGTTTAGGCTTTCGGGTTTAGGGGGTGTTGGGTAGGCAGCCCCCGCGCCTGACCGCCAGTGACCCGCTCCAGCCAGGAGTCCACAGCGTCAAAGAGCATGGCACCAAACAGGGGCCGAAACCCTCACGACCCTTTGAAACTGGGATTTCAGCAGAAATGTTGTGGTCTTTCTCTGTGGTATAGGGCTTAAAGCTAAATTTCTTGTTACGTCATTCAGGTGCGAGAGTTATGGATGCCGATCTGTTTCGGTCTCGGTTGTTTGTGTAGTCCCTTCAGTACCGTCTTTGGCTCAAGCCAAGTCTTAGCTTGAGCAGCGCTTTCAGATTGTGTTGTTTGTGGCAGCTCGCCAGCCAGGAGACGAGGGCAACCAAAGCCAATCTACCGGGGGCGGGGGGGGGGGGTTCTGGCTCGGAATCCGGCGATCACCCACCTCGGCGTGACTAGGACTGTTGGGAGTTGGGGGTGTCTCTTATTGGACCTATGCACCGCGGGACACCACGTACACGGAGAACTCGATCAACAATGTTGAGCCACTGCTGCTTGACCCGCCACGCACGGGAGATTGCTAAGTTTGTCCATTCGACCAAGTCTTGGTGTTGCGAGCAGTGCCGATTCTCGGAGAGAGGCCGCTAAACCCACCATACCGCAGAGTAAAAAAGACTCCTGACAACAAAGCCGCGAAACCCTGCGTTGAATTACAACAGCTTTAAATCCACCAACCCCCTGACCTTTCGCGATCTTTCGCGCCTTGGGGGCTTAAGTTCTCTGGTCTTAAACTATCGGAGCACACGATCTACCAGGGGTTCGGAACTCTTACAATCCGGGGCGCATGGAAGAAAGACGGCAGGAAGCTGCTTCGGCACGTTCGGGATTCAAGTGTCCCTCACTTGCTGTGGCTGCTATAAGCGGTAAGGAGGAAGCCTCTGTGACCTCACTGTACAAAGGTCGGCTGCAGTTTGCAGTGGAGGGCGCAGCCTGTGCAGCCTAGCTGCACATGGGCTAGCAACGGACTGCGCCACGAAACAAAACTCGAAGGCACCAACGTTTCATGGCCCTGAAATCCAAGATGCTAGTCTTGGCCGCTCTCCACTCATGCTGTTGGAAAGACTGCATGCTGGAGAACATCCACGACTGGAGGCTGAAACTGCAACTTCGACTTAATGTCGATCATGTCGTCAACTGTTAGCTGCTCCTTCATGAAGTCGAATTTGCTGTCGGCCAAGCGCCCGCTGTCGGCACACGCTGTGTAAAGGTTCTCGAGGTCGTCGATGGCCGCCGCGACGTCCTCGGGCGTTGGCACACCCCCTTTGACGGCATTGTAGATGACAACCGTGACGGTGACATGCTCGTTAGCGTTTCTCTTGGGCGAGTTGATGGACAAGCCGTCCCAGACGTCGTGCTCCGTGCCACGAGAGACCCTCGCAGCGCTGCTTTGGCCTGTGGGCACAGCGCACCGCACCTCGGGCACGCAGCGGCGCTCAAGGCACTGAAGCTGGGGGGCGCAGTCCATGTCACAGTCATCATCACTCAATGCATCCATGCAGGCTGGTGCGCACTCGTACTCCCACTGCGTGTACAAGGCCGGATCCACTGCAAGCACAGGAAAGGCTCCTTCTCTCATGGGTGCCTGCTGCTGCAGCGGGACCTGGATGGTCATGAGCACGTTGAAGCGTTGGCCCATGGCCCGGATGCCGATGACGCTCGAGGTCGCCTTGCCGCGAGCCAAGGCTTCTGCCCTCTCCTGGTCTGTTTCTCGCTGCTCGCCGCCCACCTGATGACGGCTCTCCTCGGCTTCCAGCCAGTAGCGGTGGATCTGGCCATCCTCATCAACTGCATGGTGAAAGAGCTTCTTCGCACCCGAACCGTCCTGCTGGAGGGCCATGCCCTGGCTAGTGCACAGCAACACGAGATTCCGCGGGTCGGCGTCGCTCATGGTGTTGTAGTTGTAGGCCTCCGTGGCAAACTCGAGCTTGCCGCGGCCATCGGGGCCATCTTCCACCGGAATGAAAGTGGTCTGAAAGCGGATGGAGCATTGCGAGTCCAAGGCGGAATTCGAGAGGTCGGCCTGGTCTTCGAGGCCAGCATAGCTGCCGTAAGCGCCCATCTGCTGCAGCACGGTCCGAAGAGTTACCGGCTGCAGCGCTCCACCTGTGCGGGATGCCACGACTGCCACCTCATCAGCAGAGACGACGCCCAGCTTTTCATTCCAGTTGTCACTGCGCACCGTGAAGAGCTGCGCCCCACTCTTGCTCTTGAGGTAGGTGTCCGTGATGTTTGCCCCCCAGCAAGACAACGAGCCACCCACTGTCCCACGACTCACATCGTCCCAGGAGACCACCTGGCAACTGTAGGTTGCATAATGCCCCCCCTTGGATCGGCAAGCATCGTTGATGGCCTGCATGGTTGCACCCACTGAAGCCATGGCCGGAAGGAGTCACAAGCCTTGCTTGGTGTTGAGCTGGATGCCCTTCTGATAGCTTGAAATGGCTACAGAAGGCTTCCTTGCGCTTCGGCCGCCAGGGCCCTCAGGTTTCGCATGGTTGTTACGCCCGAGAAACACAGCCAGACTCCAACTCCTCAAGGATTGGTTCAAGGATTCTCGGCTTTCAATGCTCGAGGCTCTTCGGAAGCCTCATGGCCGGAGAAGCCCCGCTTTTATATGAGATGAGACTCAAGGATGTGTAGGCTCTTTGCTGTCTTGGGTCATCAGCATCAGGATGTTCACTATGGTGGTGAGGACGATGGGAGGATGATTACTATGTCCATGATGGGGCAGGACGATGATGGTGATGATGTTGTTGGTGGCTATGTTGCTTAGACTCAGGAGACATACAAGTATGTAGCTTCCGAAGGGTATCGTTTTCAACCCCGAGCCCCAAAGCGCATGGCCCATACTAACCACACCCATAAACCCCAATGCGGCGCAAAACGGTTGATTCAATCAAAATCACACCGGCAACGGAGATGAGCGGTTTTGAGATCCCCCGCTCTCAGCAGGTCCTTGGCACATTGATTCCGGTGATCTCGCGCAGTACTTTGCTGCGCAGAGCTCACGTAAGACGACATCTGTGAAGTGTTCTGTTCTCTGACACATTGTCGAAACCGCAGAGCTTCCCAGGAGTTGTCGAACACGCTCACAACTGCGTCACGGGCACTTGTCCTCCGAGGAGCATTCGCACCACATCTTCTTGTTAAAGTGTCCGTCCTGCGTGCCCTCGGTAACCTTCTGCTCCAGCAAGTCGAGGTCGAGGAGGCCGTAATCCTTCTCGATCCAGCCACACTCCTTCCTGGCCACCCGTTCCCATCCCGCCTTGCTGCCCACCCAGACCGACTTGGGCCAAGGGGTGTCGCGCCAGCTGGTGGCCACAGGGCAGAGGTATTGCCGGATGCAGGCCTCAGTGTAGTAGCTCTTGGCCTCCTGGAACAGCTGGGGGTTCTGCCCATAAGTGCACACATCATTGCTGGGTGAGCACACATCGATGTTGTAGGATGCCATCCCGCGGCTCACGTGGAAAGGAAAGACTCCACAGCGGTTGAAGGTGTTCTCCTTGGCAAAGTAGGTCATGTGCTTGCTGCAGTCCGAGATGCTGCTGACAACGCAAGAGAGGTACGAGCCCGACCACTCATCGTGATGGACCTCCTTGTTGAGCGCCACGGTCGTCACTCCGTCGCAGGAGCCACGCTCCGAACTCGCGGCATGAAACTCCCTGATGGCGAGGGCCACCGGGAGCAGCACAAGAATCATCTTGGCAGCCATGGTGCGAGAAGCCGCGAGGAGTTCGCAAGAGTTCACAAACAAAAGACGGGGGGGGATACTCACAGCTGTGAGCTTCAAGGCCAGCGAAAGCCAACAAGACATGACCAAGCAAGTGTGAGGATGTGAGACCATCACAATGGGACCAGTCTGCAGCTCAAAAGTCTAAAGTCCCAAAACCGTTTCGATGTTGCAGTTGATGAGCATTTGGTGCCGGAAACATTGAAAAATCGCGAAGGATCTAGAGCTTTGGGTGCTTTTGCCATCCGCCCGTCCGGCTGCCTAGGTTCGACAGGCAACATGTCACCCACGACTGAGACAACCCCCCTAAACCCTAAACCCTACACCCTAAACCCTGGAGCTTCTCTTTTGGGCTTTCGCACCTTCTTGCCATCATTGCGGGCGCGCTCCGCAGCCGCAGACCCATGAAGGCTCAGGGGACGTTGCAAGGAATGCAGGGGCCGGAATTAGGATTTAGGGTTCACGATTTAGGGTTTAGGGTTTACGGTTCAGGGTTTAGGGTTTAGGGTTTAGGGTTTACGGTTCAGGGTTTAGGGTTTAGGGTTTTACTATTGCTTCGGGCTCCGCCTTATCATTATGCCATAGTATGCCCCAAAGCGCCTTTCCAACTATTCTGAGTGTTAAGGCCCCCTGTATTCGGTTAGAAGTGGGCTTCTGGCCAGGAGAACCCCGACTGCAACAGAACTAGTGCGGCGATTGTCATGAATACCCGTTTAGACCATCATGTTCCCCGCACGAGTGCCAGAATATTTGAGTTTTCTATGTACGAGCGTTACCCTTCCGGCTGTGATGCTACCGTTTCGCAACTGCTACAACGGATCATGCTCCACAAACTAGTAAGACGCAGCAACATTCAGACTATCAGGTTCTCGATAGCGCCAGAGCAGTACAAGTTTGTTTCACTCTGAAACCAGATGTGGCGCGAATTGTTGAGATGCTGGTGCTCAATGTGCTAGTCTGAACAGAATCTGTACTTGGAGAGAGTGTGCTGTAAACTCGACGTTCGGAAGCTGAGTTTGGTCTCTGTAGATGATATGGCGAAGCACAATTTCTCTGTTTCCGGAATTCAGGCACCAAATTTATGGCCCTACGGATGCTGATCCGTTTCGGTCTCGGTTGTTTGCGTAGGCCCCTTAACTTAGTACCCTCCTTGGCTCAAGCCAACTCTTAGCTTGGCGGCGCTTTCAGGTTGTTTTTATTGCAATCTCACGTGCTGCAGAGAACGCAAGCCACGAGGGCAAGTAAAGCCAGCCATTCCTACTTGTAGGGCCATGGTGACTTAGTTGACACACCCTCGGCGTGACTTTTTCCTCGTCGCTCACAGCGCTTGCTTGACCTCCATGTCCAAAGCCATTCCCTGCGGAGCTCAGGACTGTGGGGAGGGGTGCTATGGGAGGCATACAAGCGAAGGGACTATACAGGGCCGATCGGAATGTAGCAACAACACCACACCCTCCGCGTGTCGGGTGCTTGTACATCCCAACCTTAAACCCTAAACCCCGAACCCTAAACCCTAAACCCTAAACCCTCGAGTCCCTAAACCCTAGAGGCCCTAAACCCTAAACCCTAAACCCAACAGCCAGCGCCCGAGCCCGCCTCCGCCATGCCCGACACGATGGACAAGATGCAGAGGACGTTGGGTACACACAGGGGGGCCTCCCCAGGTCCTCAGGCCATGGCTTGGATTCCACCCCTTTCAGGCTCTAATAGGGGCTAATAGGGGCGTTTGGCTTCAGGATCTAGGGTTTCGGGTTTCGGGTTTCGAGTTTAGGGTGAAGGCTTCTTGGGGAGTTCCCCCCCGAGTTCAAGGATTCGGGCAGGTTTTTCTAAACTTCAAGGCGGCCAGCCTTGTGGAATCACGGTGTGGGGGATGGATCCCATCAGCGCCTCAGAGAGCCCCGGGTGCTGGGGAAGAGAACACATCACGCCGGGGCTTCCGGCCCGCAGGACAAGGCAGAAACCAAGGCAGATCCGGTGAACCCGGCCCCCCAAACTCTCAACGGAAACCCCAAAGTATCAACGCTTTGCACGCCCTCACAGCACGACCTTCCCCCCTTGCGCAAAAAACTCCGACAAGTCCCAGTGGCGTTCTGAGGCTGCGGAAGGAAAGCGCTGGGCCTGTGGTTCCCGGACTTGGGGCTTCGAAAGGCGGGACCGATCGTGGTGTTCTGGAGACCTTCTTGCTCACATAGGAATTTAGGTGTTTCCCAAAATAGGGGTAACCTCCCTTATACCCCAAACTGAAAAGAATCCCCTTAAAGGGACCCCCAGCCTTCTTTAGCCAACAAACCTCAAGCTCGGGATACCTCGGGTCGTGCCTCCACTTGAGGGCCAGCACCTGCTGCTGGGCATCGTGGAACACCAGGCACACGGGCGAGAGCTTCTCGCGCAGCCCTTGCACGGCTTCTGGTTCTAACACCCAAAGACCCTCAAACTCAAACGTTTTTGCTTTCCCACGCTCGTTGAGGGCCCCGCCTTGCACCAGCGCCTCAGCAGCCTCGACCGAGACCATCTTCACGGTGGCATGCCTGCCCTGCAGCAGGAGTTTCCGCGGCGCAACTGCCCTGTGACTCTGAGATCCATGGGGGTTTCGGGTCTCCCCTCCTTCTCAGAAGAATCAGCCATGGCAGCCGCGGCCTCGTCCCCGTTTTGGGTCTCGGCAGCATGCGTGCGATCCTGCCAGCACACGGCAGTTACTCAGTTACCCCCCCGGTTTTTTGGGGCAGCGAGCTGCGCTTCGGCCGCCTGCCTCTCCGCCTCGAGGCTGTCTTTGAACGTGCGGGGGAGCCTCACTACTACGCAAGTCGTTGAGACTACGCAGCCCATGGGGCCCAGCACTTCCCCTCCTCCAGTGGAGGCTGTAGCTGCAGCACCACGTCGAAGGCCGACGTGTCCTCATCTCATTTTAGCCATTTCTCGAAGGTCGCGGTGGGAGGAGAATGAGAACCCTCCCAAAAGTGTTAGCCAGCGGGCCAACTCGAAGATTCCGCGCCAGTTTGATTCCACGCCTGAGAAACAGACGATCAACATTCGACAGCCACAGCGCAAACCATTCTAAGCCAAAACCTCTGAAAGGAACCCTGTGACCACGACCTAGATTGGGCTCCCCACCCAGCACGCGGGCATGGAAGCACCGCAGAGCCTCTTGCGCCCGGCGCCTTCCAGGCATCCACGTGGGCTTTTGGGGGGGATTCTGCTGTGCCTTCGTATCCTTCGTGGGGTTTAGCGCTTATAGGGTTCATGGCTCAGGGCCTTAGGGGTGAACGGGAAGCAGTGTGCCTCAGCCAGGCTGCCACGGTGGAGGGCGGTGTCGCCAGCAGCAACGCGTGGGGATCCAGGCGGGTGGAGACCTGCGGCTGCTTGTTCCGCAGGTGGCTTCGGTTGCTTAGGGTTGAAAGATTAGCCCCGTCGCACTCTCAGCCCCACGCCCAGAAGCGTAGGAGGCTCCCATCCTTCCTTGCATTTGGAGTGGGCTGAAGACGGTTCACTGTCCCCCCCAAGCCCAAAGAGCAGGTCGCACCAATTCGCTCTTGCCAGAGGGGCATCACGCGGACTTGCAGAGGCCAAGCTTCTGCGCCGTGGCCAAGTGGTTCTCAAACGACTGCCGGAGGCCCAGGCGCTCCTTGCTCAAGGAGGCAAGAAGAACGGCAAAGGAGCTGCTTAAACCTGCCCTCCCACAAACTCTCGAAGTTCCTAAATCCCTTTTGTAGGGGCTCGGGTTCCGACTAGGAAGTTCTTCAGGGTCTTGAGGGTCTTGAGGGTCTTGAGGGTCTTGAGGGCTTGAGTTTTCGGCTTGGGGGCCGCAGGCCTCCTCCGTAAGTTTGCCGTCGATGTCGACGATGAGCGCTTCCTTCAGGGTTGGAATCACGGGCGCGCCCCCCTGAACCCCTAAACCCCTGAACCCGAGACCCGTGTCCCTCTGCCAGTCGAATGAGTCCAGCAGCCACAGGGCGCGACAGAAGCCGACGTGGGGACCTGCCAGGGGGTTGGGGCTTCCAAACACCCCGGAACCCTGAAACCCCCAAAAGACCGCAAACCTCCCCAAAGCCTGTAACCTCCAAACCCTCACACTGCAAACCCGACGCAAAACCCAAAAACCTACAAGCTCCTGGTCCCCATCCTGAGATCCCCGATTTCAGTGGAGCTTAGGGCATTTTACGGTTTTAAGGGTTGCTGAAGACTTTAGGTCGTTTCTGCTGGCTTGTGGGCGTGGGGGTCTCGAGACCCATGTTGGGATTCGCGAAGCGTCGGATGCTGGTTGGGTGTTTTTGGGTAAGGGGCTTGAGGGTTTGGGAGCTTAGGGCTTATTGCCAGCGGTTTTGGGTAGTTGGGCTTGAGGTTGTTGCGTTTGGGGCTTTGTTGGCTTTTCCCCGGGGCAGATTTCAAGCCTTAAGGGCTCGGGCTTCAGGGCTTCCGGGCTTCCGGGCTTTCGGAAGAAATGACCCGAAGCCCCGGCGCCAAAGCTAGTATGCCCTCAGGCTGGCAAGCAGCTGCTGGGCGCATCGAAGGGGGCTGGGTGAAGAAAAACTGCGCACACCAGGTGCTCGCAAAACCTGGGCGCGACAACGAGCTTCCGGTTGGGGTGCCCCTTTGAGCACGGGCAGCACGGCGAGGGCGAAACATTCGCAAAGTTTAATGTCCAGGTGTAAATAGAACTGCCATCGGGCACGGAAGAAGCCATGCCCGCTCTGCCGTTTGTCATCCGCACAACCGGTGTTCAAAGCGGCTGGGCCCTGAACAACTTTTAGAGCCTGCGTAGTGATTGCAAAGATTGCTTTACGATTTCACAGCCCGGCGGCTCATCATAGCCCGACATCATCCTCAGTGGCTGAGGTTTCAGAAGTAGAGCTTGAGGACAGGCATGTGGGGCTTGCAACATAGGGTCTGTAAGAATAAGGCATCACCAAGGACTGTTCCGAAGAGCTAGCGGCTCGCGCACGCAAAAGCGGAGCCAGGTTTTTTTTGGGTATTTTTTTGGTTTTTTTGGGGGTGTTTTTTGGGTTTAGGGTATGTTTTTGGGCTTAGGGTATGTTTTTGGGTTTAGGGTTTAGGGGTTAGGGGCTAGGGTTTGGGGTTTAGGGTTTTAGGGTTTTAGGGTTTTAGGTTTTTAGGTTTTTAGGGTCTTGGGGTTTTAGGGTTTAGGGTTTTAGGGTTTTAGGGTTTTAGGGTTTTAGGGTTTTAGGGTTTTAGGGTTTTAGGGTTTAGGGTTTAGGGTTTAGGGTTTAGGATTTAGGGTTTAGGCTTTAGGGTTTAGGGTTTAGAAAACCAAAAAAAACACCCAACAAAAACCAAAAAAATATACCCAAAAAGAACCCCCACCCCGCAAATGCGGCATGTCTGCATGGATCCCTTTCCATAGAAACTGAAACTTCGTCGAACATGTATCTATCTATCTATCTATACATACATACATACATATCTATCTATATACATTGTATTCATTTCTGTTCCATAGTTTCGGAACATCTACAGCACACCTTGTCAGTGCCCAGCGTCTGGGAGGCCATCCAGCGCTTGAACAGCCGGACCGCCCCGGCCATCGCTGGCTTCTGCAGCCTTGCTCCAAGTTGTCAAGGCTTAGAGCTCTTTTGGGGCCTACCCTTTGGCTCAAAATAGCCCGGTTTAGGGGCGTTCTAGGGAAGATCTCGGAATCGCGTTCAGGTGGCAGTTCCTGAGAGCCCCGAAGCCCCGAGAAGTTCCATTCAAGACCGCTGGGCTCCCGGGCGCGTGCGCATGCAACGAGGCACGCAGCCGCGGTCGCCACCACAGGGCCCGCAGCCTTCGGAGCTTGGCGCATCTTTGCGTGTTGGTTCAGGGCTGATAGGTTTTCGGGCTCAGGGATGTTCAGGTTTTAGGGTTTAGGGTTTAGCGGTTCCGGGATTTTAGGAAAAAAGGCTGGCAAGGAAGAGCCGTAACACGCGCCTGCGAACAGTGAGGCCTTCAAAAGAGCATCACAGATCATACTTGGGGAATCCGAGTTCGGGTGCACACCCCGAGCACTCTTGCGCGCTACCCCCCCTGAGCTAAATTCGATCCACCCACACGACACAAAATGCTCTCTCTCTCTCTCTCTCTCTCTCTCTCTCGCTCTCTCTCACCCACTCACACTCACACTCACACTCACACACTCACACTCGCAATGCGCACATATGTACGTGCAGACGCCATGTCCAGCAGCCCCCCCTTCAACCAGGCGGCCGTTCCAAGTCGGGCTCCGAGGGCGGCGTTGAGCTCGTGGCCTTCACCATCTGTGGGGCTTCGGGTCGGGGTGACGAGGCAGAATGCAGGAGCAGCTCGAGTGGCGGATTTCGACCATGCAGAGCTTTGCACAGAGAGCCGCTCGAGGGGGGCGAGGGAGGGAGGGACGGAGGGAGGGGGAGAGAGAGAGAGAGAGACAAAGAGTGAGAGAGAGAGAGACAGAGAGAGAGAGAGAGAGCGAGTGAGCGAGCGAGAGAGCGAGAGAGAGGGAGAGAGACTAATAACAAAAAAGACGGCCCTTCTTTTCAAAACTCACCCCAAAGCAGCGAATCCTCAACGATGCAAGGGTGTCCTTGCAGGCACCTTTGATGATAGAGATCTGGCAAATAGGAACCACAACAACCTGAATCCTCCACCTGCCTGGAGGCCGGTCGCCTTGTTGGCCACCTGTCGACTTTCCGGCGAGGGCTGCGGTTTTTCGGTTTGGGGTTTCAGGCTCATCCCAAGAGTTCGGGCACCCAGCAACAAAAGGAAGATCGAACCCCGCACCCACAACTCGTATGCCGTATGCCTCTTGCAGCTCGTGGGGGTGGAAGATGCGCAGCCTGAACACCGCGTCCGGATAGCGCCTTTTCGCGGCTTCAACAATCCCACAAGGATTTGAAACTCAAGCGCTTTGAACTGAAAGCTCCAAGGGTTGCAGGGGCTTTGAGGGTTTTGCGGCTGGCTGAAGAGTTTGTGCTTGGGGGGGAGTGCGGTTCTTGGTTGGTGACGACAGCCTCGGCACCCAAACCCTGGACGGAAAAGGCTACTAGGGCGTAGGGTTGAGGGTTCAGGGTTTGGGCATAGTTTCTGGGCGCAGCTGCCTTTACAGGAAAAGCCCCCGACCCTCGACTGTGAGCCCACGGCCCCAGAAAACCCTTGTAAGCCCGTGAACTTGAGCTTTCACCGAAACCGAAGGGGTGAAGCCCAATACACCCAAACAAATCCCTCTTAAAGCAAAAACTTAATTGAAAAGCCCTAAGAAAAGCCATACACAACCCTGAATGAAACCCCCCGAGTCCTTAACATCAAAGAACAGGAAGGAGGGCGGGGGGGGGTAAACCCTAAACCCTAAGCCCTAAACCCTAACCCCCCACCCCTATTCCCTAAACCCGTAAACCCTAAACCCGAAACCACCTGGTTTCCTCTCCCCTGTAAAACCGAGCCGCACATCGAGGAAGCCTTCAGTGGCGTCCGCCTCAATGCCCAAGTCGGACGACAGCTCCTCGCGGATCCTGGCTTAAGGGTTTTAGGGTTCAGGGTTCAGGGTTTAGGGTTGAGGGTTTAGAAGGTTTAGGGTTTAGGGTTTAGTCTCCAATCCCCTCACCCGAACTTTACTTTAAACCCCCCCTAACCCCACTAATACGAAATATTCCTTGATACACTCTCACATATAACTGCAATATGGGTTATCGGATTCGGGGCCTAGGTTTGAGGCTACCCGGCAGTTTGGGGTTGAGGATGGGCTCCCGGGCTTCGTTACCTTTAGGCACCTCAACCCTTGGACCCTAAACCCTAAACCCTAAACCCTAAACCCTTGGAACCCTTGGGACAGCCAAGACGCTGGAGCAGCAGCGCCGTGGCGACTTTCTGCGCCGGGGCCTGTGCATGGCTTCTGGGCGCATGTCAGGGTTCGGGGTTCAGGTTTTAGAGTTCAAGGGTTCAGGGTTTAGGGTTTAGGGTTTAGGGCTTAGGGTTCAGGATTTGAGGCTTCGCCTGGCGTTCAGTGCGCCACGTTTTACTCATCTGGCCAGTGCCGCGCACCAATCCGCAACCTGGAAAAACCCCGAACCCGAAAACTCCTCAAGCCCCTCCGAAAACGGAGCCTGAACACAAAATCTTAAGGCCCAAAACATTCACTGAAAGCCTAACCCCAAGCCCTAAGCCCTAAACCCCAAATCAACCAACTCTGCCCCCCGCCGGCTCGGAGGGCCACCGCCCGGAGGACTCGAACTCCAGCACAGTGGCGTGCAACGTCCGCCGCAGGGCCTTTTTGGGGGGTTCAGGGCTTAGGGTCTAGGGGTTAGGGTTTAGGGTTTAGGGTTTAGGGTTCCCTGGACTTCGATATCCAGGACCTTAGGCCTTAGGCATCGCCAGTGAGGCCTTGCACACATGCACCCGCCACTGACCAAAGTGCCTTTTCCTGCTGTGACAGCTTCCAAGTGCACATGGACAAGTGACATCGAAGTAGTTCGAGTCACAGCAACACGTATTTCTCAAGTCTGTGTGCTGAAAGTATCAAGCCTGGAACGCTTTGAGGCATGGAGGCGTGATGTCAAGCCATCACACATAAGGTTGGGCAGTTGGCTTCCCAACTCCGTGCACAAGCACACGAGCACCCGAGCTTCAAAATGTACTCAAGGGTGCCATGGCTCATGCCTCCATATCGAAATCAGAACGTCCAACTCACCAGATCCTGGTCCCCTTCCGTCTCGCCAGGGGGTAGATTTGTCTGGACGGTCGTGTCCACGACCTCATTGGCTTTCTGCTCCTGCTTCGCCGGCGGGACCGAAGTCGGGCGATCAGGTGGCTTCCGTGCGCCACAGAGCCGACATCTCTGCGAAAACACCGCGGCCAGCAGCAGAGAGAAGGGGAGAACCGGAAGCAAGCTCGGGGTCTCCGTGGCTGCCCTCGTGAATTCCACGACATAGGTTGGCCCAATACCGAAGAGAAACAGGGGAAGGAGCAAGAGGATCGAAATCAACTTCCGCTTCCCTTGGCAGCGCTTGTCCATGCGGAGGCCAAGCAGGCACAGCCACCAGTAGACGTGGAAGTACCAGAGGATGCCAAGTGGGAAGGCGGCCCAGTGCAAGCAGCAACGGACCCACCAAACCAGGAGATGAGAGCCCTCGAAGGAGTGTTCGTTCTCGATATAGGCGGGCAGCCAGAAGATGAGACTGGGTAGGCTGGCCGCCCACACCAAGGTTGAAAAGTATGACATGCACGTCCGGCCGGTGCCGACCGAATCCAGGACTATTGGCAGAAGCTCTTCCTGCGCCGTCTGGTTGAACTTCTCCCAGTGGGGTTCGTCGGAGGCCTCTTCTTTCTCCTGAGGAGAAGATAGGCTTTGAAAATACCACTTCTTCACAGTCTCCAGGATCAATTCTCGATCACAGGGCAGCGGTGCTTTAGTTTCCGGATGGATGTGGTCCACCGAGCAGCAAAAGCATCTGCAGTTCTGAATTCGAAAAGACCTAAGTTGATCTTCGAGCTCCCCCATACTCCCTGCGACACCAATGCCCGCATGTAGACACAGAACCGCAGGAAGTATGAAGGCAATCGCCAAGAAGCCAGCAATGGTTACCATCTCCACAATCCGTTGGCTTTGCCCAGCAGCTTCGTTTGCCAAGACCGCCGCCAAGAGCACGTACACCAAAGAAACACACTGCGTGGAGCAGAACATGCCGAAGAACAGGACGGCCAACTTCGTTGGCATGATCTCAATCGACTGTCGGGTGGAGTGCCGGAGGAATGTGGCCAATTCATAGCAGCACCAAAGCCTCGAAAAGTAGCGCGGGCTCCATAAAATCGTCAGCTTCTTGGACCGGTCGAGGAAGGCGGCCAAACCCAAGATTCCCTTTTGCTTCAACACGGCGTCGTCCTGTGAAATGCACAGCTTGTCCAAGAAGACCATCTTCGGCTTCGAGACGATCGCGAAGCTTCGCTGCGCGAAGCAAAGGAAGGTCCAGAAGAACAAGTAGCTGACCACTGGCAAGAACACCTGGACACTCGGCCCCACGAACATGGATGCAGCAGCAGTAAGAATGCTGGCGACCAGGGCAACACGAGCTGCAGGCTTGGTGTTGAAGAGAACCATCATTGCAAGCAGCTTCTCCCAGCGCGAGGTCCCCCAGTCATGGCTGAGGAAGTTGTCGAAGTCCTGCGTGGCCCGGCTCAAGCTGTAGCTGCTCCTGGCTCCGTCTTAGGAAGGCAAGAAGACCGGATATTTCCTGGGGCCCATCCGGAAACCCCAACCAACAAAAAGCAAGAATGATCCCTCAAACCGAGATCCTTCATAGGGGCTCGGATTGAAAAGATTCGGGAACCCCTAATTCAGAAACAAAACATTATCCCGAAGAGAGGCCAAGGCTCTGGCTGGTGTCAGCGTCTGTGCCAAGGCTACCACTGCCATTGTCTGCCCAATGTTTCCCTGGGTCGCTCTTGACGAGCCCCAAAGATACTCATGAAGGTGAACCTCTATTCCTTTTATGGGGTTCCTTTAAGGGCTCCTTTATAGGATCACGAGGGAGCTTCAACAGTGTCCTAGTATCCCAGGCGTTAAGCCCGATGAAAATCCCCAAAAAACCAGCAAACACCGCAATAAATCCCATGTATCCCAGGTTACCACCGAGCTTCCCCAACCCGACAAAGCCACATGCAGCGGAATACCTCGCAGAAGCTCGGGTTCCAGGTCTACCTGTAATCCACCTTGGTCCGTCTGTTCAAGCCCCACCATCGCGTTTCGAGGCTGCAGGGACTTATTGAGTAGGTGACAAACTACACGTATGAAAAGGATATCTGGACTTAAGGCATGAAGCTCTAGAACTTGTACCCAGCCCCCGGTCCTCCACGCAGGAGTGGCCAAACGAAAACCAAGCAAACGCGCACACTCAGATGTGAGATGCTACTGTTGACTTGCGCCCGATATGGAAGGTAAACTCAAGGCAATCTGTGGCTGCTCACGGTCCCCTCACATGGACATCATAGACGACATGAGGCTGTGAGCCCTGAGCAAGTCGTTCGGAGTTCTGGGCTTTGCACAGCATGTGTTTGTGTTCCAGCTGCAGCTGTGCCCAACAAGGAACCCCCCCATCTCTAAACCTTACCCCTGAACTCTCAACCGGCCTGGACCCCAGCGCAAAGACTTGAACCGGCTGTTGAAAACCCAATGCATCCCCGTGCACCCTCCTCTGCTAGTGTTTGAACCTGAGAATGCAACTGGTAGTTCTCACAGCTTGATGCTTAGGGTTGAGGATTGAGGTTTTAGGGTTTAGGGGTTCTGTCTTAGGCTAGGGGGCTTATGCTCAGGAAAGCCAGGGTTTGGAGGCCGGCCTTTGGGGGGGTAAGGTTTGGATGACGATTCGCCGAGATTGTGTGGGAGTTCAGCCCCTGCATGATGAAATGCTATGAACGAAGATCCTAGGAGGACTCGAAAAGTGGGTCCACGAGGCTCTCGCAAGTCAAGTGCTGTCTGAGGCGCGGCATCACTGCCCGAGGGTGCCGGGGGCGCAAAGGTGGACTGGATGGCCATGTAACCTCACTGAACCATGGGGGGCTAAGACATAGGGTCGTTCCAGGGCCAGGGACGATGCGGGAGATCAGATGAGTTGGGGAATGGAGCAAGGATTCAGTTCTACAATCCTGGCTATGCCAAGAGGCACTTTCCTGCTGTTGACAGCCCTGAATTGTGGCTAAAAGCCCGGGCGGCACAGCCGTGAACGCCACCGAGACTGAATCTACGTCTCACTTTGCTGTCGTGCCCTGCAGCTTAGCAGCTGAAGGAGGCGTCCACAGGGTGGATGTCCTCAGTGTCTCTCGCCAGCTTCACTTGCCCGGTTCCTAGATTTCTACAACCCTGCGGTAGGCTTTGGGGCCCGGGTCCCTCGAACGAAATAGGACCGCACTTCACACAGGAAGGTTGCAGGAAAACATGGAACCCCAGGCCATGTTGAAGCGAGATAGGCACCCACCCGCTTCTTCTCCCACGCCCCCCCTCCCCAAACAACTCCCCCCAGCCCGCATCTTCTCGCGCCTTCACCGCCAAGGGCAAGGAGCTCAGCTGGCAGAGGTGCGTGCGGAAGGTCTCGAAGGTGGCCCAAAGCCGGCGGTCCTGAGACCAGCCCTTCGATGCTTAAAGCCCCAAATCCCTAAATCTCAGTGGAAGCTCGAAACCCCTAAGCTCTAAGCCCTAAAGCCTTAAGCCCAAAAACCCTCCTTGTCGGGGAGGGGGGGTCGGGGTTGCCGGTTGCCGGGCTTCAGGGTGAACTCCTGAACCAGTTTGGGACTTTTACAGGGCCTATGAGGGCTTCTTTTCGGGTTTACGGGGCTCATGGGGTTTGGGGCTTGCGTCGCTGGAGGGTGTGTGCTGTCGGACGCAAGAGCCAAATGTGCCCTTAGAAGTCCTACTCCTCCATGGCACCAAGTCGAAAACTATGACTTTAAGGACCCTGCTGCTGTCTCTGGAACAGCTTTAGGGAGGGCCTCCTTCAGGTCCGGCACAGCAGTGAGGAGTGCGCGACGTGATGGGATGGGCAGTGCAGGGTAATATAGGGGTCGGAATATTTCCGAACAATGTGCCTTTATAGTCCCTGCATAAATATACTACAATAAACCCCAAAAAACCCTGTTCTAAATATAAAGGCCCCGTAGTAGATTGGGCATTCCGGGGCCGCCTTCTCGCCGAGGTTGGCCACGAAGCCCGTCGGCCCCGAAACGATGTCCTCCCAGGCAGCACGGTTTAGGGTTTAGGGCTTAGGGTTTAGGGTTTAGGGTTTAGGGTTTAGGGTTTAGGGTTTAGGGTTTAGGGTTGAGGGTTTAGGGTTTAGGGTTAGGGTTAGGGTTTTGGCTTTAGGGTTCGACTTCTGGGCAAGTCATCCCACACACTCCCTCAGTGTCCGTCTTCGGCGCGAGCGACGCAGGCAGATGCCTTGTGAGCAGATGCCGCACGATCTGTGTCACCTGGGAAACAGGGGCTCGGCGCGAACTCAACTTGTTCTGGCAGACCCAAACTGTGCTGTTAACATGACTGATAGTAAATCGTATTCAGTTTATGAAACATTCTCTTCTACTATAAAAAGCATTAAGATGTTGCATCTTACGAATATTCTAAATACCATGAGTTCTTGTACCCATTGCAACAAATTCAATGGCCCCCGCTCTGCCAGCAAGGCTCCACCGCTGGCTGCTTCGGAGTCTCGACGGACCTCTCTGCAGGAGGCTTCTCCCAAACCACGCATTCGAGGATGCTCCCATCCTCAGGGCGAATCGTGAAGCCACAAAGTCCGGTCAACTGCCTCGGAACAACGAGCCTTGAAGCGCCGGAGCTCACTCCTGTCAGTGCCTCGGGTTCTTCTCAGAGTCACGCAGGCTACGTCGGCTACGTCACAGGCCCGTGGGAGCTCGGCAACCAACAGGGGAAACGAGCCAATCGCTCCCTCACGCAAGATCTCAACGCCCAGTCACCCCACAGCTGGCGGAACTTCGTCGCGGCAGCATCCTCCAGTCTCAGAGCCATTCCGTGCATCTAGGTGCTGGGGGGCTGTTATGATTATTGTGTACTGTAGCTAAATATATTGTCTTTACGTTTACATCTACATCGTTCTGCGTCCTTACACGATTCGATTGACGATCGTACATGCATGATCTATCACACTTGCTGCTGATCATCATCACCAATGTGACCACAACAATCATCCGCCTCATCGCCATTCCCTTTGCCCTAAGCCTTAGGCCCGAGTTAAACCCCAAAAAAAACCTTAAAACACCCAAAAAACCCTGAAAACCCCTGAAAACCCTGAACCTGTAAACCCCTGAAAACCCTGAACCTCTAAACCCTAAACCCTAACCCTAAACCCTAAACCTCTCTTTCATATATAATTTAAATGTTAAGGAGTTACTGGGCAAGGTCGCCGTTTTACTGGGCAAGGTCGCCGTTTTACTGGGCAAGGTCGCCGTTTTACTGGGCTACCCCAGAGCGGCCAGGGTCCCTATTAAAAATGCGATTTTTTAGTACTGAAATCGACGGTTCTGGGTGGTCTCTTGTTCTCCGGATTTTCGACGAACACCGAGCCTTCACCGACAGAGGGCCCCCGCCACCCCCCCCCCCCACCCCCCCCCCTGGGTGACCCCAGGATCGGCCCGTCGTAACGCCTCACCCCTTCCAAGCACACCCCCGATAAGCAAGACCTGGAATCATGTATTTTCACTCGTAACGTCTCATCCCTTCCAAGCACATCATCCAAGCACATCACCCCCCGATAAGCAAGACCTGGAATCATGCACTTTCACTCGTAACATCTCACCCCTTCCAAGCATGATTCCAGGTCTTGCTTATCGGGGGGTGATGTGCTTGGAAGGGGTGAGGCGTTACGAGTGAAAATGCATGATTCCAGGTCTTGCTTATCGGGGGGTGATGTGCTTGGAAGGGGTGAGACGTTACGAGTGACAGTGAAAATGCATGATTCCAGGTCTTGGTTATCGGGGGGCGATGTGCTTGGAAGGGGTGAGACGTTACGGCATGGGTGCGTCGGACTAGAAATTAAGAAAAACTTTTTATTTTCTTAATGTTATGGGATTCTTTGGGCGGGTGGGTTTTTTTCCGTTGCCTACACACACTGCTGGCCTAGTAAATGCTCGAACTTGAGATGCTGATCATCATCACCAATGTGACCACAACAATCATCCGCCTCATCGCCATTCCCTTTGCCCTAAGCCTTAGGCCCGAGTTAAACCCCAAAAAAAACCTTAAAACACCCAAAAAACCCTGAAAACCCCTGAAAACCCTGAACCTGTAAACCCCTGAAAACCCTGAACCTCTAAACCCTAAACCCTAACCCTAAACCCTAAACCCTAAACCCTCAACCCTAAACCCTAAACCCTAACACTTCAGGAAGGAAGGGGGTTGAGCCCAGGTCCTGCGCAGATGGGCCGCGGTCCACCACTCGCTCCAAGTGTTCCGGGGCCAGGATCAGGCCGATGAGCACCTGAGCTCTGCAGGCGTGGGCTAGGGGTGGATTAGGTCCTTGGGTTTACATAGATTTTAGGGTTTAGGATTGATAGGCCCTATGTTATAGGGTTTAGGGCTTATAGGCCCTAGATTATAGGGTTTAGGCCCTAAACCCTACACCCCTAAACCTATCAACCCTCTACGCCTCCCAAAGGCCAGGGCACCGCAACGCCGGTCTCGGGAAGATGCTCCGCCCATCGGGGACAGAGGCTGCCCACCCACCGCCTGACTGCAGTTGGGGGATACTTGGAGGTTCATGGTACTTGCTCACCCAGTTATAACTGCACGTATAGCTGTACTTATTGCTGTGCTTATACCCATATTAGGGCACTTAAGGGGCTTGTAAGTGGGTTATAAGTACAGTTGGAATTGGTTAATAAGTACCAGGAACCTCCAAGTAGGATTAGGGGGACCCTTGGGGATATAGACCTTCTGCATAAGGTCCCTGTCTAAGACAGCCAGACGAGGGTTACAAGGGTTCCCTCTTCAGGGTCCCGCCCTTTTCCTACCTAGGATGTACTGGTTCTTAGTTTAGGGGGTTGGGGGGCTTGAGGGTCTGGTTTAAGAGTTCAGGGTTTAGGGTTCAGGGTTAGGGGTTGAGGGGTTTAGGGGTTGAGGGTCAACAGGGTCGAGGGTTTTCGGCTCAGGGTTAGGGGTTGAGGGGTTGGGGCGGTTGAGGGTCCAGGGGCTTAAGGGTTGAGGGCTTAGGGTTCAGGGTTGAGCTCCAGGGTTTAGGGTTGAGGGCCCAGGGGCTTAAGGTTGAAGGGGTTGCCTGTTGAGGTCGAGGGTTTGGGGTTTAGGGTGCGTGCCAGTGTACGCGCGCCGGGAGTTCGTCGGTTCTTTAGATTTGACATCGCGCGCTTGCACAGCTTAGTACGCTTAAGGCCAAAGCACCTCAACAGTGAGGTTACTCTCCGAGCCCTCCCAGACCTGGAGGTTCGCCACGCGCCGGGGTCGAGCACCCACGTCTTTGGGCAGCGGTGCTCTCGCCAGTTTAGGGCGTAGGGTTGAGGGTGAGGGTTTTGGAAGTAAGGAATTATCTTCCCACGACTAAGAGCCGAACAAGCTGAGGAACCTTTGAAGGCTGGGGTTCGCCGGCGTGGTTTATGGCTTTGGGGTGTGGAGTGTTGAGGGTTCAGGGCTTAGGGATTGTCACTCATGGACTGTCCAGGGCTTGGGATTGTTCGGGAGGGGTTCGAGGTGGTGGGGTGCTCCAAACAAGCCCCTGACCAAGACAGACTGCTGCCACTCATGAATTCGTAGTGCTCTGCACGCGAGCCACACAGCGGCACGAACACAGCGGTCGTCCAAGCCAGCGCGCAGAACACATCCTGAGGCATCTCAGGGGCTTACAAGGTTTTAGGGTTGAGTGGTTTGGGGTTTAGGGTTTCGGCAACCTTAAACTCTAAAGTCTAAGCAACTCCCATACAACCTTAAGCCCGAAACTCCTAAACAACCTTACAACTGCTAAACATGACGACCAAACCCGAAACAACAGCCTCAAGCTCCAATCCCGTAGCCAAAACTTCGAAAGCGAACTCAAACATCAGACCCTACACATGCCTACACAACCCCAAGCCACCCAGACCTAAACCACACAACCCTAAGCAAACCCCCCCACAACCCTAAACAACCCCTCTTTTTTTTTGCCTAAAAGGCAACTGTCAAGCCCTCGAAACAACCCTAAACTCTAAACAGCCTCCAAACAACCCTAAACCCTAAATAAACCCGAACAGCCCCAAAAACCCTGAACCTTCAGACCGAACTGCGAAGACGCTGCGCCACGGCGAGGGCTTCGGGCAGATCCGGCGGAAGGCCTGGAGGGCTCTTGGAGGCGGGCTCGTTAAGGGGGGCAGTAGGCTTCAGGGTTTAGGGTTTGGGGTTCGGGGTTTAGGGTTTAGGGTTTAGGGTTTGAGGTTCAGGGTTCAGGGTTTAGGGTTTAGGGTTAGGGTTTCGCGAATCAGCCTTAGGGGGGCTGTACGGGCTCTGAAGCTGGGCTTCGGGGCTTTGAGGGTTTTAGGGTTAGAAGGGCTTTGGGGGATTTAGGCGTTAAGGGTCTCAAGGCTTTCGGGTCTGTGCCTTCGCGGCTTGCTGTTTGAGACTTCTGGGCTCAAAAGGTTTTTGGGGTTTAAGATGGCTTTAAGGCTCTAGGGGTTTAGGGCTTAGGATTTAGGACTTAAGGCTTTGCAGCTTTGCAGGTTTTGGGGCTTTCCTGGGTTAAGGTCCTAGAGCTCAGGAGTCAGGGTTGGGCTGAAGGGTTTTTGCCCTTAACCCCAAATCCATGAAGGGTTTAGGGACTCCCTTTCTTTTGGACCAGGTAGGGCTAAGGCTTTGGAGTGCGGGGTTTAGGGTTTAGGGTTTAGGGTTTAGGGTTTAGGGTTTAGGGTTTAGGGTTTAGGGTTTAGGGTTTAGGGTTTAGGGTTTGGGGTTTAGGGTTTCGGGTTTCGGGTTTCGGGTTTAGGGTTTAGGGTTTAGGGTTTCGGGTTTCCAGGGCTTGCCGGGGGGACGGGTGGGCTTCCGGGTCGGAAGATTCGAAGCCCAGCTGCCCGGAGTTGCCTCCTCGTTGGCTGGCGCCTCTGTCCTGGAGGGTCTTGAAGTTTCGGGGTGGTAAAAAAGGGTTTAGGGTCTCGGGTTTAGGGTTTAAGGTTCAGGGCTTAAGGTTTAGTTTAGGGTTTAGGGTTTAGGGTTTAGGGTTTAGGGTTTAGGGTTTAGGGTTTAAGGGCTTGGTGGACTTGTGGTTCAAGGGCCCTGAATAGCCCCCACCTAGAACCTCCCGGCTCTGTCTCTTCTAAGCAGTTGAAGCATGGTCCCAGCCCCAAGAGGCCCAAGTCCTCAGGTCCGGGCACATTGCCATGCTTGGAAGCTCCGGCAGTCTCAGGCAGAGGTCCTGGGTTGGTTCCAGGATTCTGCATGCCAAGCCGCGGAGTCTCACATCCGAATAAGCCTTCTAAAAACATATGGGTGGCTTCCGAAAATCAGGGGTACCTTCTTGGGGGTCCTTACTAGAAGGGAATCCTACTATTTTGGGGGGTCTACTTGAGGATATTTTTCTCCAAGCATCCCAGGTAAGCTCCGGCGTGGCCTGGCAGCCGAAGACCGTGTCAAAAGGGTCTGCCTGATCCAGGGTGAGCAAGAATGGGGGAGGAAGAACCACAAAACCCTAAACCCTAAACCCTAAGCCCCTAAACCCTAAACCCTAAACCCTAAACCCTAAACCCCAAACCCCAAACCCTAAACCTAAACCCCATAAACCCGAAACCTTGATCCTGAAGGCCGCCTGGCCTGGGAGTCCATGGCCCGGAGAGCGCGCTTGGCCTCCCACTGCAGCCTCTAACTGCCGGGTGCTTGGCGCGGTGTGTGCGCGGGTTTAGGGTTTAGGGTTTGGGGTTTGGGGTTGAGGGTTGAGGGTTGAGGGTTTAGTGTTCAGGGTTTAGGGTTTAGGGTTTGGGGTTTAGGGTTTAGGGTTTGGGGCTTGGATGAGTTTGGGTTTGTTTGGGGTGCATGGGCTTCTCTTGGGGGCTACGGGCTGTCAGGATTTCAGGGAATCTCAGGCTGAGTGTTCAGTATCGAAGTCGTTCGGGGCGGGTGTGTCGAATGCTCTCTTGCCGCAACCGCCAGAGGTTGCGCAGGGGTTTTGGGCTTTCGGTTTGACACGTTAAGGCTCTGGGGCGCTGCAAGGTGTAGAGTTTTACTCAGTGTGTCTTCACTGCTAGCCTGATAGCTGAAGAACTTGAAGAACTGCATGAAAACTCCGATGCATCCGAGGGTCTCCTCCATGACCGGACCAACTCTGCAGAGGAAGTTGACCGAGCCGTCCTTTCGCAATCGAATGTCCACGCTTCTTAGCGGGTTTCGGTTTAGGGGTTAGGGTTTAGGGTTTAGGGTTTTGGGTTTTGGGTTTTGGGTTTAGGGTTAGAACTCGGATGTTCAAAGGCCCCTTGGAGTATGCCGCCCGGACACAGCGTCGTAGAAGTGCGCGGTGGCCGCCTCTGTCTTCGAAGTAAACTCGAAACCGAGGCACCATGTGAAAAAGCGATGTCAAACCCAGCTCTGCCCAACTCACGCGCCTGCGCCTCCATGGCAGAGAGCGCGGCAGAGCCCGCCACACCAAAGGTGACCTGCAGGTTAGGGAAGGAGCAGGGTGTAGGGGTTTAGGGTTTAGGGTCTAGGGTCTAGGGTTTAGGGTCTAGGGTTTAGGGTTTAGGGTTTAGGAAGGTTCCAAATGCTCTTCTCAAAGTAGCTAGAAAGGAGGAGGTTTTGCAGGCGCAGCTTGATTCGACTCCCGCCTTCTGCTCACTCCACTCCGTCGAGGCCAGAAAGCTTAAGGTCAACCTTGGCATCTGGAAAACCAGGGTTTAGGGTTTAGGGTTTAGCGTTTAGGGTTTAAGGTTTAGGGTTTAGGGTTTGGGGTTTAGGGTTTAGGGTTTAGGGTTTAGGGAGAGGTGAAGGGTTTCCGTGACCTTAAGTCATTGTTTGGAAGGGCTGCCTCCGCCTCAGGGGCAGGATCGACAAAGTACGTCACAGCAGGCTCCACTCGCGGTTCGAGTTTTGGGGGATTGAGGGGCGGCCCGCTGGCCGGCACTAGAATTGAGGGAAGGAGGGCCAGGGTGGCTCGTTCGGGATTTGAAAGGCAAGCGCTATCTGCATGTCTCCCGAAAACCCTAAACCCTAAACGTTATTGGCTTTGAGCCCAGAAGCTTGAAGAGCTGAAACGATGATGTCTGCGTCGGCGCCACGCCAGCGGTATTCGCCGCGTGTGCCGCAAACATGGATAAGAGGAAGCCTGGGAGAGCAGCAAAGAGCATGAGCAAGCTCCACCAAGAGAAGAAACAGGATACCGGGCTCAGGGATGCGCGTTTTGAGCGCGCGGGGCAAACTAAACTAGATAGACCTTACGACAAGCTCAGGGATTTGCCCAGGGTGGCAACCAGAATTGAAACCCTAAACCCTAGATCCTTTGAACCCTAAACCCTAAACCCTCGACCCTTTGAACCCTAAACCAGCATGGCACAGAAGCAAAACTGCATCGCAAGGGCCGCTGACCGGCGTGGAGACGGCGCGGTCGGAGCCCGCAGCCAGGAACCCACAGCAGCGAGCCCAGCGCTTCCTTGGGAGGCTCCCCTGATTCAATCCTAGCCGACCCAAAAACGCTCCCTCGACATGACCCAGTCTTCTGCGCCCAGGTGCAGAAGAAAGATCCCGTCGCGCAGGGCTGTGAACCGCTCCAAACAGGAGTGCAACGTCTCCAGATGCTGCCCTGGGCTCTAAACGGTCTTGTAACGCTTTTGGAGGTCGGGGGGGGGGGAATTGAATCCTCTGAGGGCACCCCAAAACCCTTTCTTCAACTCTGAAACCCTGGAGCTGGCAAGGGCCCCCCCCCCCCCCCCCAGGCTTCCCTGAGAGCCGCGCTCATCCGCGCGTCCTCCAGCACCTGCTAAGACTTTCGGTTTGAGCCTTTGGGGCGTTTAGGGCCCTGAGCAGGCAGGAAAAGGAACCGATGTCACAAGGCCGAGGAACACAACTATTGTAGTGGGCCGTGGAAGGCGCTGCGCCGTTCTCCAGAGACCTGTCGGGGCGCACAGCGTTTCGATCCTCGGCGTGCGCATCGGGATTGGGGAGTGTAGGATTGGCAAACCTGCAATCCTAACCCCCGTTTGAGATATTCACGTCACACAAGTTTGGATTTCAGGAGGCAACTTTCCCGAAGAGAGGGCTCTTCTGCGTGGGACTTTCTGCGCAGGCAAACTACGCAAGACGTGGAAAAGGAAGCTGGACTGCGAATAAGGGGGCAAATCGCGGTGCAACCATGTCACTGGAATCGGGTGCTTTTCAGAAGCAATTGGCTAGGTTACAACGAAAGTGCAATGCCAATGGCAGGGCGAGCAGAAAACGCAACAACAGCCCTAAACCCTGAACCCTAAACCCTAGGATACATCTGACCCGAAATCCTTTACGCCAAAGCCAAAACCCAGGAAACTAAGAAAGCCTACAACCCTAAAACCCGAACACCTCAAAACCCTAACACCCTAAACCCTAAACCCCAAAAACACCCTAACACCCTAACTCCCCTATGACCCTAAAACCCGAAAGCCCCCAAAACCCTGGCGCTTGACCCATCTTGACCCTGACGAGTAGCCGGCCCAAGCACTCGAGCCGGCCAGAGGTCAGGCGCATAGGTGGGCAGCAATCTGATGGCCCACCTATGGGTTTAGGGTTTAGGGTTTAGGGTTTAGGGTTTAGGGTTTAGGGTTTAGGGTTTAGGGTTTAGGGTTTAGGGTTTAGGGTTTAGGGTTTAGGGTTTAGGGTTTAGAGTTAACCCGAAACTCTAAACGACCCCCGACTAAAGCGGCTGCTTTGCGGAAAAAGGGGGATGCTTATCGGCGTAGGGAAAATGTGACCCCCATCTGCCATGGAGGATGCTACGATGTTCTCAGCCCGGACTAAACGAGCCGGCAAGGGTTTGATGGAGGCACAGTCTGACGGTCTTCAGAGCACCCTTGAATCAGTGGTTGGAGGGTTTGTAAGGTTTAGGGAGTTTATAGTTGGGTTTAGAGGGTTTAGAGGGTTGAGAGGGTTGAGAGGGTTTGCAGGGTTTAGGAGGTTTTGCTCAAGTGCAGAGCCCGGATGCCTTGGGAGAGCTTGGCTTTTTATCTGCATGTTTTCGTGCAGGCGGGTAAGTTCTGTCCATGGCTCCATTGCCACAAACAACCACCCACCCCGTCTCCAGGGCTAGTGTGCATGGACATCACTAAATACGAGGCGATAAGGAACCAGAGGAACATAAGCCTTGGACGAGAACTTATTTAGAGGTGTTGCATTTTGTTGCGATTTTGCCCTTGATGCTTACCGGAACACTATCCAGGCATCTCCGTCCCGCCCATGACCTTTTGGCGAGCATTGACTTGGCCCGCAACTCCAAAGCATTCCAACTGAATGACTCCTCAAACCCCAGCGAAGAGGTGCAAATCCAGTATAGGGACGTTTTGGGACCTGAACTGTTGTGTTCAGGCGTAATTCGGGGTGGCTCGAAGACAGCACCAAGTAGCCTGGCATTCTCCTCTGGTTGGAGGCACAGACAAGGCCTTGGCCATCTGCGGCAACCAACAGTGCAGGGTTAGGGCCTGCCAACCTCTAAACCCTAAACCCCTAAACCCTGAACTCAGGAAAAAGAACAACAACTCCTGCATCCTGAGCTGAAAGCCTGTGCCGATTCGCGGGACTGATTTCCACAAGAATGGCACCTTCACTGCTTCATATGAAGCCCTTCCACACAGATCCCCCAAGAAACCCAAGCCCTACCTCTGCTGCGCCAGGGCACCGCGTGGGGTCCCCCGACACCGCCTGACAAAGAAGGGCCCTCTTACACAGGATTCGGGGCCTACTACTCCCAAACCCTGGACACGAAACCTCAATCTCCCTAAACCCTACACCCTAGACCCTACGCCCTATCCCTAAACCCTAAACCCTCAACCCTCAACCCTCAACCCTAAACCCTAAACCCTAAACCCAGGAGGGTCGACTTAGGAGGGGCTTCAGAGGTTTGGGGCCCATGGCCCCTTTCACCTCGAAGGTGGCGGTCAGGCCCACCAGCGGCTCGCTGCCTCCCGAGGTTTGGGGGTTTGGGAGCTTTACCGGGTTACTTGGGCTTTTCGGGGGTTTCGGGGGTTTAGAGGGTTTAAGGGGTTTTTGGTGGGTTTAGGGGGTTTTGGGGGGGTTTCAGGGTTTGGGGGGTTGGGGTTTAGGGGCTTGGGGGGTTGGGGGTTTTGGGGTTTGGAGCTTTGGGCCTTGGAGCAGACCACCACAGAGCTGCCGGTGGAGCTCTCCCAGGTAGGCGGCCCGCTTGTCGTGGTACCGGAAGTTCAGGTAGTCCTCTCACTGACGAAAGTATTTTCGCATGTACCAAGATGCTAGCAATTATACATGCCAGTCATAGTATGCAACCTGCCGGGGTAAACTTGGGGGGAGAAACCCCCCATTGGCCGGGCAAAAAAGCACCGCCGCAGAGTTCCTTCGACCGGAACATGTCGGCGGGCATCTCAACTGCCACGTCCGCGGCGAGCTCGTCTTTCATGTAGGTCCCCAACCTGGGCGCATTGGAGACCCATTCATCTTCGGCCTGCTAAAAACCTTGTGCAAACTGGGGATTTCCGAATTTAGGGGTATCTTTTTGGTGTACTGTACCTTATTTGGAGGGAGTCCTACTATGTCTATTTTAGGGGTCCCCTACTTTCGTAAACCAAAAATCCGTCCAGGTTGCAAGAAGCTGCCGACAACGTCGATACGCCTCCAGATGCAGAAGCTGACGAGCATGCCAATGCAAAGGCTTCTCGCCCCGAAGCAAGCTGACCCTTTACAGTCGAACAGATCTCTGAACCCTCCCATTCCAATTGCCGTGGGCAAGAGCATGGACGACATCTGGGAGACCCTTCAGAAAGCCTCTAGGCCTCAAGCAAAGCCCCGAATCAAATATGCCCGAACTTAACCCCAGCGACACCAAAAAAATTCCAAGCAACATACCGGAAACCAAAGTTAAATGCCCTAAACACCCCCCGAAGGCTCTGAGGCACGGGCCTCGGCGGCGCGAAGCGCAGCACCGAGGGCGCCGCGCCGCCGCGCTGCACGAACCGCAGCGCCGGGAACTCGCGGGCAAAGTCCGCCTGGCGAGGGCTTTCTTGGGCTTGTGGGCCTTTTTGGGTTTGGGGGCTTGCAGGGCTGTTGGGTTTCTGGTGCGTCTTCTGGTTCGGGTTTCGGGGGTGGGTCGTCTCTTTAAGCCCTCCCGGTCATCCCCGAAACAACATCCCTGTGCGGCCGAGGGGGCCGGGATGTCCCTTGTACGGAGCTTCTCCAGGAGCAGCGGGCGCAGTGCATGGAGAGCCGCCTGGGGCAGAAGATGAGGCTTTAGGGTTTAGGGTTTTAGGGTTTAGGGTTTAGGGTTTGCTGTGGGCTAGAGATCTCAAACGGCTCCATCGGCCCTAGAATTGAAGATTGAAGCCCTGGGAAAGTTCCCCAGGCTCAATTCAAAGATGGAGGCACCTTCTCTCAGGAACCTTTCAGGCCACGGATAGAACGTACCCCCTATCCTACAAACCTGGTAGGATATCCACACCGCCATTCCCCGAAGATCACTAGAAAGGAGCTACGTACTGGAGGTCCTCTGGGATCTTGAGGGGCGCCATATAGGTTCTATCGATCCGCTCACATGGGGAGGCTTCATGGAGGTACAGGGATGTGGGATTAACTTTGTTGTGCTTCTGCCACCCAAACAGTTAACGAAAACAAGGGACCCCTAAAATAGACCCCAAATAGTAGGATCCCCTGATAAAAGAGACCCCACTAAGGCACCCCGCTTACCGCAAAACCCCCAAAAACCGAAGCTACAGGGCTCAAGAACCGGGGGCAGCCCTGGGCTTCGAGGCCTCCAGCGCCGGCGGGGGCTTCCTGGGCGTCATCTCCTTGATCAGCTCCTGCCAGAGGCCCGGGGGTCATGGGGCCGAAAACCCCCAAATTCTCTGAATGCCTTTACAAAAAGGCATTAAGGATCCCAAAAAAAGCAAAGACATCACAAAGTTGAGACGATCCCTGAAACCCGAAGAACCCCGAAGATCCACCTCCAGCTGCAGGCGGAAGAGGTTGGACTTGTAGAGGTTCCGCGTCCGTGCAATCTCGACCACCTGAGGGGCGTCGTCAGAAAGGGAGAAGGGAAAACCTTGGGATGTTCCCCTTTTCCTGACAGTCCATTCCTCGGGACTATGACTTATGATCGGGGGTACTACAATCCCTATTGAGGACGGTTAGTCTGAAAGGGTGAACATCCCAAGAAAAACCCAAACCCGGCCCCCCCCCCCCCCCCAAGGACACAAAAGGCAAAAGATGGGTAGGCCTCTGCCGCATCCGGGGCTTTGAAGAGGTCGGACTTCTGCTTCTTCTTAGGGACCGGCGGAGCACCTTTAGGGTTTAGGGTTTAGGGCTTAGGGTTTAGGGTTTAGGGTTTGGGGTTTCGGGTTTAGGGTTTAGGGTTTAGGGTTTAGGGTTTAGGGTTTAGGGTTTAGGGTTGGGGTCCTAGATGGTTTCATGGAGGCTGGCAGGCGCGAGTTTGGAGGGCTTGAACTGAGCCTTCGAAACCTTACTGTAAGACCCAGACCCAGCAACGACAAACAAATCAACCCGCAACCCTGAACCCTAAACCTGGTACTCTCAACCCTCGAACCTGTGACGCAACCTTTCCGGCTGGGACGCTCGGGACCGTCTAGGCCCATTGACACTATTGAACACCCGAGCCAAAGCCCGCAGTTAGAGTTCAAGGTTTGAGCACCGAGGAGGAAAATGAAACCATCAATGTGACAAGTTCTGCCGACGGTTCCCTCGCCGACATCTTCCACGCTTTGATGCTACGAGAAGTTTCCTCATCACTTGAATGTCGCCACTGATTCATTAAAGCTGCCATGCAACATGGTCACAGCAATTATCTCTTGAATGTCACATTTGCTGGATCTCTTGGGCATAACCCGGTGGTGTGGATCCTTTCCCGGGTAGTCACCCAGTCAACTGCACTTGTGCCTGGCCTTTCATTGAGTCAGTTTTTCATTACAACGTACTTGCTGCTGGGAGATTTGGAAGACTCCCAAAACCTAGAAATCCAGAGATTCATCAAGAACCCAACAGTTGACCAAGGCAACAAGCAATAGCACCGCAGACGCGCACGCAAGCGAGTAAACTTAGTAAACGTGTTTGCTTGGGGTCTGCCAGGCTTGATGTGGGTGCTTGTTGCCGGCCCGACCTACGTAATGTTGTGCTCTCCATTCTCGCACCTCCACCTGACCAGGAACCTCAGGTGGAATATTTTGTAGCTGGCGTGGAAATCAAGCTGCAACCGAAGCCTAAATACCATGGTCTTTCCGACATTTCGAAAGCCGCACGAAAGCACGGCGCCCACGCCAACATGCGCGACTTCACGGATCCGTGACTAGCCGTGGAGCTGATTTTGTTGCATACATGTATATATAGACAAAACTAAACATACCCACGCAACAGCGGCCCGACATTCTTGGCTATAACCTGTCTAGATCAACAACCCTCGACTCAAGCTTTGAGCCGGTCTGTTGCTGACAGCATGAAAATTCTTGATCTGGCTTCCGCCATCCACAACGCGTCCTTTTGGTATCATGGCCATCACTGGGAGACGGTTGCCTACGATGAGTGGCTGCAGAGGTTCATCCTGTTGCAGTGAGGTGTCTTGACGGCCCCTGATCGTCGCGAGGCTGCTTCGCGACGAGGGCACGCGCGCAGCTTCGGGCTCAGGGTTTAGGGTTTAGGGTTTAGGGTTTAGGGTTTAGGGTGTAGGGTTAGGGTTTCGGGTTTAGGGCTCAGGGTGTAGGGTTGACGGTCCACGCCTTCCTCCGCTGCGATCTCCTTGCTGGGGCTCGGGGCCGCCTTCGCCTGTCCGCGGTCTGAGGCAGCTTGGTTTCAAGGTGCCTCGCGTGGGTTCTGCAGCCGTTGTTGGGGGGCGTGCTTGAATATCAGGTTTTCGAAATTCATCGGGGTGTTCCGGCGTTCGCAAGAGGAGGCAATTTTTTGGCATTGCGCGGCGGGGGTGAGAATTAGCACCACTTGCAGGAAAGACGAAGATGGAAAGCAAATCTGGTACTCCTCTAAAAGCAACACAGCTGCAAATGGATCCTTGGTGAGGCCTAGGGCCGTGGGTAAAGTTGAGACCTCGTTGCACTAGGCTGGTAGTGCACGGCGGTTTCATGGTCGAAGCGTCGGAGCGCAGTGCAGTAGTAACTTAGTACGGAATGCTCTGTGCGACCGGGTGCCAGAGAAATACCCGGCAAGCACACTACCAGTTTGGATGAGCCGCTCATGCGTCACCTCTGCCGGTGAGAGGAGAAGGCTAGGAGCTTGGCTTTGTGAAAGAAGTAGTGTACACATCATTGCGACGTTCCTCTTCAGCCAATATCAAGGAACAACTCCGATGCATCGAGTTTCTAGACATGAGGGCGCGGTGCTGCAGAGGAAGCTTCAAACCCAACGCTCATGCATGTGAGTTTTGATCGAGGTGCATTGCTGCACTGCAGAAAACCTGACAAGTGCTGAAGAAGAAAGACCTTCTGCCTTCCACTCCGCACATTGCAGACAACATGGGCCCGCGGGTCATATTTACAGAAGTGCCGGTGTTTGCATGAGCAAGGCAGGCACCCCGTGTGCAAATGAAATCAAACTGACCGGGCTCAGTGCCTTGGGCACTGGCCGTTTTCAAAACTCGCCTGAAAGGGCTGCCAAGAGCATGTGTTTGTGGTAGCCTTGTGTCATTGGCGGGCCTGCAGCCCAGGGTTCTCTAGGCAGTCCACTTTGTGAAACATGCTATCGTGACTTAGTGTAGCCGAGACCTTCCTTGCATCTAAACAATTCGCTGAAGTCATTGCCGAGAATATCTTCGAGCTTCTGGCCTCAGCTGAAGCCACTCGATTTCCCACTGGAGGGCTTCCGAAAAATAGTATTTGGGTTTAGGGTTGGGGCTTTTGGGTTTAGGGGGGTTTAGGGTTTAGGGTATCGGGTTTAAGGTTTCGGGTTTATGGCTTCGGGTTTCGGGTTTACTGTTTGGGGTTTAGGGTTTAGGGTTTAGGGTTCAGGGTTCAGGGTTTAGGGTTTAGGGTTTAGGGTTTAGGGGTTAGGGGTTAGCGGTTAGGGGTTAGGGGTTAGGGGTTAGGGTGGGTGTCACAGCGTTGTGGGGCTTATTTTGGAAGAGGGGACCCCCACCCCAGTTTGGGAGAGTCCCTCCCATACGAGGGGATGTGCTTGTGCTGGCCGGTGCTCCCTTAAGGAATCACAACCAGGAGGCTTTCGAGCAACACATGAAAGAAAAGGGGCCAAGTCCCGCACCCCACAGACCGCCTGGAAACCCCAAAGCACATAAGCGGCTGAACCCTGAACCCGAAGCCAGCCCTAACTCCACACTCTCCACAATGCCCGGAGACTGGTGGGGCGCCCCACCGCCGAAGCGTCCTTGGGTGCACGGATAAGCGTCTAGGGCTTGAGGATTGCTGGTTGTTTTGGGCGCCAACACGTGCGCTTGCTTGGGGACTCGGGAGCTCAAAGGTGCGAGGCTGTGCGGAACGCTGGAGCTCCATGCTGGTTTGGGAAGATGATGTCCACACCCCGACACTCCACCGTCCCAGAAGATCACGCGGCCCTGAACGTCCTTCGAACAGCCGAGGAGTCCTGCTCTACACCGGGAACGCGCGACCCTCAACCTAAAAGCCTTAACCCTCAACCAGAAGGCCCAAAACAATCAGAAATCCGTTAGCCGCCCCTTAGCTCCCTGATCACCTTAAACCCTAAACCGTAAACTCTAAACCCTAAACCCTAAACCCTAAACCTTAAACCTCAAACCCTAAACCCTCAACCCTAAACCTGAAACCTTAAACCTTGAAAGCCCAGGTCTGAGGACACGGCCGGTGTCCCTTAATGCCGGGGGCGGCCACGAGGGGGGCCCCGGCCGTCCGGAGCCTCGAAGCGACCGCGCTCTGTGGGGGATAACCCGGATAGGGGTTAGGGTTTAGGGTTTGGGGTTTGGGGTTTGGGGTTTGGGGTTTGGGGTTTGGGGTTTAGGGATAGTGTGTGTAGGGCGTTTTTAAGGTTTATGGGATTTGTAGGGTTTATAGGGTTTGTAGGGCGAAATGGGTTTACAGGATTCATAGGGCTTTAGGGTTGATAGGGTTCATAGGGTTTGCAGGGTTTATAGGGTGACATGGGCTTATAGGGTTTATAGGGTTTATAGGGTTTATAGGGTTTATAGGGTTTACAGGGGAGTTGTAGGGTTTATAGGGTTAATAGGGTATGTAGCGTGCGTAGGGTTCATCCTGTGAATTGGGTTTGTAGGGTTTATAGGGCCTATGGGGCTTAAAGGGCTTATAGGGTTTATGGGTTTTACAGCGTTAAGGGTTTAGGTTGAATATGGGTCCCTGAAAATGGCGGCCACCATTTCGAGAACTGACCATGTACGCTTCGCTCGTTCGAAGTTCGATCAAAGATCACCACAAGTCTCGAGTCAAGAAGTCACACCTAAGAACCTGAGAAGCCGGTAGACAAAATTTTGAGGAAGGCAATTCCCCTGAAGCCATGCCCACGCAAAGCCTCCTTGAAACAGGTAAGGAGCCCGGGAGGATCCCAAAAAGAAAGCAGTTAAACATAAACCCTAAACCCTAAACCCTAAACCATAAACCCTACGCCCTAAACTTCTCTTAACCGAAGCCCAGCCACGCACCACAGCTCCATGACGCACTGCCCGCTGCAGGCCCAAGTTCACGGAGGAAACCTCCAAAGCAGCAAAGTAGGGTTCAGGGTTCAGGGTTCAGGGTTTAGGGTTTAGAGTTTAGGGTTTAGGGTTTAGGGTTTAGGGTTTAGGGTTTAGGGTTTGGGGTTTGGGGTTTGGGGTTTGGGGTTTGGGGTTTGGGGTTTGGGTTTGAAAGCTTGGCATGAAAAACGGGGCTTGGCACGGAAGCTTCGAAGTGGCACTTGGGACGGGCCTGCTGCGTGGGGCGGGTGACAATCTGCGGAAGCGGAGGCGCATTCCTGAGAGCACGCGCTGATCTCTGCTTGGAGGATCGGGGCACTTAGTACCTTAATTGGGCTTATAGGGACTTATAAGTATAGTTCCCTTACTTGTAACCCCGCTTACTAAGTCCCCTGATCCTTTAGTGGCTACAGAGGGAGCTAGAACCCAAACATGTGTCTGAAGGCGGACACTCGAGAATTCCAGGGGCCCGGGGTGGTTCACACTCTCATTGGCGAAAATGTTACCCAGTCGTGGGCCGAACCCAGGGTTCAGGGTTCCGGGGTGTAAGAGCTTCGCCCGGACCAAGAGTGCGGAACTGCGCAGCCCTAAGCCCTAAACCCGAAAGCCCTAAACCCTAAACCCTAAACCCTAAGCCCTAAGCCCTAAACCCTAAAGCCCTAAACCCCAAACCAGACCAAGCATCAGATGAACTGCCCCCGGCAGTGGAAGCGCCGTGTGCGCCGCTGGCGGCACGCCAGGCCTCTTCTTGCCCATCGTGGGGCTTCTTACATATGGGCCCTGAGTTGTTCGGTCCTTGTATGCCCTAAATTAACCCTAAATAAACCCTAAAGAGACCCCAAATAGGCCCTAAATGTGCTGTTTATTTGCCTTTTCGGGATTTCTGGAGGGGGCGGTTTTGTGCCGATGGTTGCGGGCTTCGACTTGCTTGGCATACCCCCCGAAGCTCCTCCCCAGCCACATTCGTATGCACAAACCCGGCTGTTGCTGACCCTCTTTGGGTTTTGGGTTTCGGGTTTATGGTTCAGGGCTTATAGGGTTTTAGGGCTTTTAGGCTTTTAGGGCTAAACCCTAAACCCTAAACCCTAAACCCTAAACCCTCAACCCTAAACCCTACGAGGCCCGGACGCTTGCTGCACCTGTCCACGGTT